GAGAAATAGCTAAACATAAAATTATCAAAGAATTTAACAGTAAGCAAAGAGCATTGACAGGCTTGTAACATTTCTGTATGGGATGAATTCACCCTGATAAAACCCAGACTAGTCAGAGATGTGATTCTTTACAGTCAAATTTCTCTTAAAGTTGGAGTGGAATTTCTTTTACTCACTTCCAGTATATTAAAGCACATCAAACAATCTTTTTTATACTTAAATGTTGCGGTGTGTTTGTCCTCAGAATGTTTGTGCCTGGCCCAGGTTTACAAGGTTACTGCAGGTTTCAGCATTGTCGTCTGACATGTGCACATCATTAATGGCCAGGGCTGAAGCACTGCTTCTGTACACAGCAGTGGGCTTGGGCAAAGAACTTCCAGGTCCAAGCGCCAACGTGAGCTTCTGCTGCCATATGGCATGGAGACAAACAGCAGGGTCAGCATCTCACAGTGTGTTGCCTGGTTTCCTTGCTCAGATTGATGAGCATTAGCCAAGGAGCTGTTCATATAGGCTTGCAAGGGAGTATCCCTTGTGAAGTCAGCCAGTGTGGATTTTTAATAAACATTAAAATAATCCAAATGTCTCAATATTCGGGGGTTCACTTTTCTGGATTTCCCCTCCCTAAAATTTTCATTTTCTTTGTTAAAACTGAGTGGTAGCTTCTAAGGAAAGCTAGATAGAAAATCAATGTTTCTTTTGAGAAGAAAATGAAAATTATTAAACAAGGGAATGCTTTTTATCATAAAAATACTTACAGGACTCAAATATTTAAGAGGTCTTTCTGCATTCATGGTAAAAAAAAAAATTCATAACAGCACATTCTGTGCTGGAAAGACCAAAATTATACAACTCAACCTTGCACAGGAAGTCTAGTAGCAGTCATTTTCCCCTCTAATTTCAGTGCACCAAAATAGAAAAAAGGAAAGCATAAGGGTACTTCTCTCTTGCTGAAAAAGAGGGAGGACAATAGCAGTGCTTCACACTCAGGGATGAAGTAGAAATAGGAGAAAAATGAGGAAAAGATGAGGGTGTTGTTGCTTCCTCTCAGGGCTTTATTCAGTTATGTTGCAGAGTACTGAGATCAAGTGCTCCAGCTGCAAGTGGGAAAAGGCTCCTGAAGGTCCATTGCACTGCCTGCTGCTCAAAGCAGCACCAAGCCAGCTCTCCACTCATCCCTTCAGCCACCACAGCCCTGAAAGAAAGACCCTTGCAGAAAGGCAGCCAGGTTCAGCCACCAAGCTGCCCTTTTGGGCAGCAGCACTGCAGGCTCCCATCCACCTCTCTGTGGCACAAGGGCCAACAGCTAATTTAGGCTTCTATCAGCTACTGAGTTGCTGATTTTCACAAAATATCTATGTCCTTAACTATTTTTGAGAATTCTGCCTCTTCTCTCCAGATTGGTTGAAAGAACAGAAGTTGTGAAGGGAGGAGTGGGTGGGGATGGCAGCAGGACATGAGGAGACAAAAAGAGGTAAGAGTTAAACTAACAGTATTCTGGTACTCAAAGTAGTGATTTATTTTCCACAGATACAAGCAACTGGTGGTACATTGACAGCTCTGGAGCACAGAAGCCTCACTGGAGTGTAATTTAAGACACATAAAAGACAGCACACATGAGACTCAATGAAAGTCCTATGGGAGATTTTTTCTTCCACATTTAGATTTCAAGTAGGTAAGTAGGAAATAGTTTAATTCTTGATTTCTAGCTATCCTGTTCAATTTTCTGACAAGGCTAAATCTCCATTACCTTCACACTCATTGGAAGGGTAAACATACAGCCCTGGTGTTCCAGGGAAACAGCTGCATGAGAGAACTTGCTGCCTTTTGTGGGGTCACATTGAAATAGCATGGCCATTTTACTGCAAATTCACATGGTCTTGTATCAGTTCACTTCCTCTTACCTTTTTCTTGTAACAGTTTTTGGAGAAGAACTTTTAATTTGCCAGGTCTTAACTCTTATGGTTATTTATTTGTGGTTTAGCTTTCTCAATCTATTATTTATATATATCTAATATATCTATATATATATATATATATACACACACACACACATCAGTCTCCATCTCACTCAAGCTCCAATGACCAACTGAATTCCTCTCTCAGGATATATCAGTGGCCAGTGGCCTCAGGGCAGAACAAGCCACTTTTTGCCAGTCTGTGTTTCCACACAGACACACAGCCTGGTCACTAAACATTTCCAAAGGCCTCAGAGAATTTCCACCTATAGCAATTATGATACCTTCAACCTTGAGTTCATGGAGGAACCTACAAGTCTTCCTTCCAAGTACAGCTTCTACAAGGAGCACAGGCTGACACTTGAATGGCAATCAGTGCATATTTGACACAAATTAGGCTACTGAGCACATTAATAGACTCAGTCAGTGAGTTAGCTGCTTAACAGAGCCTCTTGGGTTGAATGGGAAAGACTGCAAGGAGTGAAGACCAGATTCTCCTGACAGAGGGAAAGGGAAGAATATGATACTTTCTCATTTGCTACAGACAAAATAGAAGAAACTACAGTAATTAATTGCTAATGGTGTTTTCTTAGCGGCAATAAAAATATCACCCACAGTTCTCAAAAATTGAATGCAGAAAATCACCAAAGTTTTCTGTTACACACAGGTGAGGGTACGATTGTGTTTTTGCCACCGATGCATAAAAAATTGTGGAATTTGGGGAAAAAGAAAAAAAAAATCAGAGTTTTCTCGTCCTTCAGTCAATGGCAGGGATCACCACTGCAGGAATGTGATGGGACATCTCTGGTGCCAGTTCAACCCATCATTTCAGTAAAGCACTGTGTCACAGCAGTGGGATTGTGATCCACAGCACCCTTTGTTGCGGCTCTCTCTTCCTGTGTCATGGCTCTCAGTGCAGCGGGCACAGCTTGTCAGGCCACTGTGCTTGGCTTCCAGCTCTGTGGCTGCAAGGTCTGCAGGCACAGAGGGCCTGTGGGGCTCTGCAGCCCTCAGCATTTAGGTGTGCATTAAGGAAAGACTTTGAAAGAATCTTTAGGAAAAGGGATCTAGGCCAAAATGTCTTCCTCAGTTGCACTTTAATTTAGTATTGCCTGGTCAAAAATGAGATATTTTATATTCTTATGGAAAAACTAGAAATGATGAATTCATTACTTAATCAGGCTAATGTAGTAAATTAAGAGGTAATTCTGAAGAAGTAATGTAACTCTCCAGTGGCATGTTAATTATGACTTTCATCTATTAAGAAAGGAGGATTATGAATGTGGGCAAGAAAAAAAAGAGATATATTTTCAGGGTCAGTGAATTTATCTTTTCAGGCATCTAACAGAAAAGAATAAATTGATTTCCCTCAATGTAGGTAATTTGAGAAGTCTTGGACCAGATATGCCAGTTTTTTACTATTTGGTAAAATTAAACTTGCTATATTTCAAACTTCCTTACCTGCTCAAACAAATATATGCAAATTCATGACTTTGATCAAAAATATGCAACCTCTGATACGAGACATCCGTCCCAGTGCTAGAAGTTCAATTTTGTCATTGTAATGTCATTTATTCATTCCTTACCGTGGATTTTGTTTCTCCTACCTAGAGCTGACATAAAAGGGTTACAATCTGGGGAGTATCCTGAAACATTTTGGTATATATACACAGTAATTGCACGTAAAATAGCAATACCAAACTCCATGTTACATGAAGGGAAATAAAGAATGAATTACTGATTTCCATTCAGATGATTTCTCTGCCTGGAGTGCAATCTGTCTGCAGTACAGTAGGGGCAGCTGGACACAATTAAGAGCCTATCTTCCTTATCTACCTATTGCCCAAAGGAGAACCATGATAAGACTTGGATAGTTCTTTGATGTAATGCTACTAATCTCCTTCCCCCCTTACGCTGATTTCCAAAGTCCAATTTCCCTGAACATAACTAAAACAAGTAACAGGAGGAAAATTGGAATTTTGAACATGTTTCCTGTTTAGAAAAATGAAAGCACAAGCCCAACCCCAAATCCAACTGCTTTCCAGGGAAGTACTGGTTATGACTGTGTACTGCTGATTTGCAAGCTGCCCACAGGGTTTCCATTTGCTTCCCGATGTCTGCTGCCCCATTTGCTGCCTGGCAGCTGCTCACAGCCAGTACACAGGCAACAAACCAGCACCAATAGCTGCACTCTTCAGTCCCTTTGCAGAAACATGTCTTTTAAGATTATCTTGGGTTCAAGTATCTTTCAAAAAGGGGATTTCACTGGCCCTCATTCAGCAAATGGTAAATGGTACTTCAGGCATCAGCAGAAGCTGCTGCTGACTGTGTGGGGCAGAGGAGCCTCCTGACTGCTGCTGTTTTCTGGCAGGGACCAGCAGTGCAAATGCTGGCACACAGCAGGCCAGAGTTTAGATTTCTACCTACACCATAAGTGGAAAACATGGCCCAGCCAGGGCAGCTTTGGGGCAGAGCAAGAAGCTACAACCAGGGCAGCTTAGGCTTAGGGTTTTCAGCTACTGCCTTTTCCCACATTGAAGGATAAATGGCAACAAATCATAAAGCTGAATGTCATCTACCACCTGGGGACAAGTGACTGCAAGATAGTCTGTGCATGTCTTCCATTACTGTCCTGTAGAAAGCACTGCAAAAGCCTAAAGCATGGATGCAATTTGAAGGCAACACACAATGCCTCCTCTCCACCCTTTCCACTGAGTGCATGCAACATTTAAATATACTGTGCTCCAACTTTCCCCAAGTCTTTCTTCTTTTGTAACTGTAGTATTTTTTCACAGCACCCCACTCTTTCAGTTTACTCCAAACAAAAAAATTCTTTGAAAGTCCAAATATAAAGAACAACTGTGTAGAACTTAATCCCTAAAGACACAACACACACTTTTCAGCCCTTACCCCTTACTGTCATTTACTATTTAAGCCACCACTGCTGTTGAAAGCAGTTCCATCTTCCCACTGCAGTAGTCAGTTTCTTTATACCCCGTTTCCTTGCATGCTGGTGCATGGGAACAATGAACAGAACAGAATTAATGCAGGGCAAAGCTTTTTTATTCCCCTGGAGCAGTTTCCCTGCTCTGTTTTACACACAGATGTACAATATTTGCATCACACAAGAGAAGTGAAGTGTAGGAAAGGAGAAAGAAACAAGTGGCCTGGACAGGTTGGAGGTGTGTGGACAGGAGCAAGGGAGGAAAGGGTTGACAGTGAAGGTTCATGAAGGATTATTATGTTCACAAATGCTTAGCCTTCATTTTGGCATGCCAAAATCTTGTGCTGCCAGTAAAATGGAGGACAAACTCTTTGGGATGACAAAATCCAAAAGGGAAAGTACCACATGCCTATAACCCAGTTGTGAAATAATAATCCCTGTGGGGGGAAAAAAATATAATCAATATTCTAGACAGACAGACAGACATCTAACAGACTCTTTAGTTCTGCAGCTATGTCCTGCATCAAGAATCATTCCATGAACCAGTGGTTAAATTGCAACAATTAGCTTGTAAATGAAAGTAGGGTTAAATACATGCTTTTATCAACAGATAAAATAGCACTTTTCCTGCTTTTCATCAAAAATAATCAGAGAGCCCTGGTGGGATCTTGTAATTTTTATTACTCATAATTTTTAAACATTATCAGCACACTTGCTGATAATGAAAGAAATACAAAATTAAAATTAAGTCAATTATGAGAACAAATGAAAGAGTGCTATGCAATGCATTATTCTCTAGTCCTTTATTTCTTAATTCACCAGCTAATTCCTAAAATCCAGCCATTTACAATCAAACTTACAATCATTAGAGGGATTTAGCAGGCTTCCACTGTCAAATACCATTCACATTTCTCATGAGAGTTGGTATGTGTCGTGTTGAAGGGCACAGATACAAAGCCTGTCCATCCACAGCTGGGCAGTATTGGATTTCCATACCTCTATCCAAACTGATCTCCTGTGCTGCGATATTAACACATGAAGTGAGAATTTTCTGAATAGTTACATCCTTTTTTTATTATCATGTTCTTCAAGACTCACTGGGGTACAGAGGTTTATGTGGGAAAGCTAGGATGTGGCTGCATGACTGATTTTTAAAGGTTGTGCACAGCTTCTCAGGAATGCAGCTGGATCTAACTCCGTGGTGGCTTGCTTGTGATGACTGAATTGAAATATATTGCAATGCTTCTCTGCTCAAGAAATATGAACTCATTAGAAGCTGAGGGTAGAGCTGAAGTATTAAGTGATTTTTCCTTTTCTATTCTTTTATTACCTAATTAAAGCAAATATTTTATGTAAGAGTAAGCAGCAACTTAAAAACCTATCCCATAAATAAAGGTGATAACATCAGATGTAATTTCTATTCACCCACATTTTGAAAAATTTGTCTTTCCTCCTTATTTTTGCAGGAATATGTAGCATATAGAACTTATTTAATTAGTACCTTGAAAATTGAAGATTCCTTTATACCAATCAAATACATAGCATTGTCTGAGTTTTAAAAAAATCTTAAATTTTTTCTAAATTTAAATAACTTAGAAACTTGTTTGAGAGCCACCACTTCCTTAGATGGCTTTTCAGCAGGCATGAGAAAAGTGCTATTTAATTTCACACTACAGTAATCATTTAACAATTTCTTTTCAGGTAGAATATAAAATCTTATTGTTAATTCCTCAATAAAATAAAAAAAAAAAAGGTTATATTGGCTATATATTTAACCTTGGACCAATGTGAGCAATTTTTTCCTCCTCAGACAAGACACTAAAGATCAGCACAAATGGCAAGTGATAAACTGGCTTGTGGAAAATACTCAAGAATTACCCTCCTCCCTTTTTTTTTCACATCAACTCTCTGGAAATGCCTCTTCAGAACTGCTTGTTTTAGTATCAGTCAATCAATTTGATACCTCCCACCCCTTAATTGGCAATGGCAAAACTTGCCAAGATCTAGCATTACCTTAAATTCATCTCTCTATTACCATGAAGCAATGTCACAAAGATTACACCTTGTTAAGATTAACAATAAACATCAGATTATCAGAAGTTCATTTCTCAAGGGCTTATTTGCATTTTCCTACATGCTTGAATTTGCTGAAGAAAAAAAAATTCTATCACTCTCTTTTGTGAGATACAGCACTAGGAATTCCCTTGGACATTGTATTTACACTTTACAAATAATCCTCTCCTTCAATTTACCAATACCTCTCTTTCCAATTCTCAAACCCTCATCATATGATGGAACTCAGCTTCCATATGATGGAACTCAGCTTCAATAGCTGTGGGCATTCTGTTTGAAAAGAAAACAAATTTATGGATGCTTATGTAAGACCTTGCTGGTCTTACTGGCAGGTTTGAAGCATTCCAGGCATCTAATGGAGATGCACAGGTTAAACAAAGCAATTAACTCTGAAGGGCAATGGTGGTGTTAGTAGAATAGTAATAGCAGCAACAGTTGTGGTAGTAATGTCAGTTCTTCCTGAGAGAACTCTAGATAAGTAAGCTAAGCTTCTTTCATCACTGTTTTCTTTTCAAGACACCTAAAATTCTATGTGTATGAATCACTAGCATTCATCACTAGCATTCAAATCTGTTAGACACACAGAAATAAAGCTGTCTTCTGGCTTTTTGTGTCCAGAGTCTTCCTACATCAGGAAAACACATATGAGGACGTATCAGAAACACCTCAAGAAGAAAGTTTTTCATGAACAGATCAAGTAGCACCTAACAATCATTTGGAGTTTCTCAGTTCCAATGGTTCTATTGGAAAATCTCTCAAAAATCTGACTGATAAGTTGGTTGGAAACCATCTTCCAAATGTCAGTCTACCCTTGTCATGGCTAATCACTACTGATGCGCTTTTTCTGGCTCTATCATTTGGTGCAAACAGTTATTTTTCCAACCTGATATTTATGCATGGCTTGACAAATGTGCAGCACTGTAGATGGGTGCCAAAAAAACAGGTGCCAAGCTCCATCCAGTGTCCCCTTCCCACTACTCAGGTAGGGAGAATACTTCTGGACATGACTGGCCACTGTGGCTTATCACCCAAGCTGATCACTAAGAGAAAAATTAGGAAGACATCTCCATTACAGGTGGATCAATCCATGAATTCTTTATTTTACGGAGACTTTTGTCCCTTTCTCTGGCCCCTGTGGCAAAAAATTTCAGGCAACATGAAACCTCAGTATAGCAACTCAATTCTTACTGAAACTGTTTGGCATGGGCTATCCAAGTATATACGCACACAAATACAAAATGCATAGACATCACTTTTTAAAAGCTGTCGTTTCCTAAAAGGTCCCAGTGAGGTAGAATTGCTATTAAAAACAATTAATTTGCAGCCATTTTTTAAACACCTAATTTCCCCACTAGCAACACTACTTCAAACAGCTACAGACGGTCTCATTTAGTGAATATATGAGGAAAAGGTTTGCATTATGTTTACTAAAAGGACTAGGATTTCAATTCCATCTGCTGCTGGGTGTGTTTGATTTGTGTATTAATTATGCCTGTTTGTAGCTGTAAATTTGCTCCAGATTAGTAGGTGATTGGTTCCACGCATGGATTCACTGCACTGCATGGCTCCCTTGCACTTTTATAGTTTTCAAATGGTCCCATACTTATACTTTTTAAACTGCTTTTGATACCTATCTTATTCAGTGTGAGCTTTCAACTCTGTACTATTCAGACAAGTTTTTTCCCCTTAAGAGAAAACATGTCCTTTTGATTCTTCTCTTCCCAGACCCCTTTAACTGGTGTATTGTCAGCTTTGTCCATGGTGCTACTATAAAACAAAAGAAAAAACTGCTTTGTTTCCCAGTCTTACAGGGAAATTCAACACATTCATATTTAGCATTTTCTACTTGGAATTACTTAAATTAATGGGTTCAGGAATTACATGAGCACTCAGCAGGGCGTATACATACCCATTACTGTGCAAACTTTAAATGATTGTCACGTCAAAATAAAACTCTTCCACATGTGGAACATTTTTGCTCTTGATCACTGAGTTTTCCTTCTGGTTTTCAAAATGCCCAAAAGTTCTGAGCTGTCACCTTTGTAGTTAAGACCTGTGAGACATGCTTGAGAATGTGACACATCTGAAATGAGCTGCATAAAAACCGCCTTTGTGTCCACAAATGTTTGTGTACACTTAGAAAATAAATGTTGAAGAGGTCAAGCTGATTTCCCTCATATTTTAGGAAAAGAACCGCTCTGAGCTGAAAAATTGTATGCCAAGTTTCTGCCTGAAGCAAATTTTTACAATCAAATTAAAAACCTTTGAGACTAAGAGTTTATAATGGAAATACCAACACAGACTTAACCATGGCAGCACTAGCAGGCACTGCAATAATATTAGGAGAGCTCTCCCTGCCCACAATCTAAACTAAATAAAAAAGATGCCATTTTCCAACATATAACCCCGGCTAGCAAATAACAATGATTTAATGTACTTGCCCTGTGGTAATATAGTACCACTGCAAACCTCTGAGCCAATTTTTCTTTTCTTTTCTTTATTTTTTCTTTTCAAACATATATGCCCCATAGGGAAAGGATTGCAATTTAGCTCTTATTTGTGGATATATCGCTTTCATTTCAACAATTCTTGAAAGCCTTCCTGTTGTCACATGCTACTGTGTGCAAGCACCCAACTGAATAAAGACCCACCAGGCTTTTTCAGGAGTTTATTCACAGGTTTGGCTTTGCTTATTGTAGTATGCACCACATTTAATTAGATGAGGGCTACTGTAAAGCAATAACATTGTCAATGACTGGAATCTCACTTTCCCCTCTAACAGTCTGAAGCAAATTAATGTATTGGTTGTTCATTAACAAGTAAACAGTTTCTGCTACAATGTCAAGGAAAAAAGAAAGTGTTCATTAATATGAACAATCTTCATCTACAAAGATGATTTACACAATGCATGTAATGAAATAGCTTTCCCCTAACTAGTACACTACCAAACTGAAAAGCTGATTCTTAGGACTTTCTTGAAATTACAATATTGTTTGTTTACCAATAAGAAAGACAGTCTCAGTCACCTATGCCACCATTGTAAGCTCTATAATAAGTACTTAAAAAAAGAGAGATTTCTGGAATCACTTGTGGAATTAATAAAATTGGTAACTACAGACTTACACTGCATCAATGATACATATTATTCCTGTGATAACTTGAGCTAAAAATAAGATTAATTTGGTTATAGAAATTCCTTAAACAACAACACTTAAATTATTTCAAACTTGAATTTTTTCAAGAATTTTCTGAAAAAATCAGCAAACACTGGCTAAAAAAGCAAAGCAGTTTGGATACACCAATGTAATCAGCATGCCTAGTGCTTTTCTGTTAACCCTCTGAGTAGAACCATAGTATTCTGGATTTTTTGTACATTAATGCTGTGAAAATTATAACTCACCGAAATACTAATTTATATGTCATGACTTAATAAATCATATTCTAAATATGTTTGGGCTACGCACCTCATCTCACGAGTGATTAATCCATCCTAGAATTTTAATTATCTGTTAGAGAAACCAGCCTCTAGCACCTGTATGGGAAGATTAGATTACTGCCCTATATTAGATGCTCAACTCTTAGACAGATACATCTAGATGAGACAATTCCCAGCTCACTACCTTTTAGCAAATCCTGTGCTAGCCCGTAGTACATTTTCATTTTCACATCAAAGTTTGCTCACTGCATTTAAGCTCACTAGAATATCCCACCTAGGTTAGAATCCACGTTATCCCTGCTTATATTTAATTGAGAGGACTTAAGCTGGAAGTGACCCTGTTCTACTTTCCTGCTAATTCTAAGATCAGGCTGTCAGGCATCTCCAGAGAGCAAACATCAGATGACCTGAGTCACCCTTCGGAAGTGCTCGTCTCCATCTCCTCGGTGATAGATGGTGCCTACCCCAACTGCCATCCATCTCTGCTAACTAAAACAATTGTTGTCACATTTAGCAGCAATGCCAGCCAATTATTGAAAAGGGAAGCGAGGAAAGAAGTCAGAAGGACTGGTCTGTATTACAGTAAAATGACCACGGTATGCTCTCCCAGATTTTCACATTAGAAATAGTCTATTATGCTTGATTTCTTTTTTTCATTGGTGTTTGAAATATTTATAGGGCCACATATTCTGTCTTCACTTACCCCCAAGAATTCAGAAATTAGACTAAAAAATACGGCAGTCACTGCCAAACAAGCCTAAACCATTATAACTTCCATGAAACCATAAATATATATACATATATATGGATATATTAAAATATATATCTATGGGTATATGGATAGATTTAAAAACATCATTGCAAACACTTTTAAAACAGTTCAAATATTCAGATATTTTTCCTTGAAACCTAATATAGGATATCAGCAATTTGAAACCCAGTCTCTCACAAACCTAAAAATAACTTAAAGAAATATTTTTATAGTTATGTTCATAAAACATGAACCAACAATCAGAAACATAAGATGTTGGGGATGAGTAGGATTTTCAGGATCTAAGATTATTTTTACACACATTTTAAGTAATACAAGATGGTCTAAGATGAAGGAGCCAAACATCTTATTTTAATGATAACCCTGTATTCCAAAGCAAAGAAAATGTGATTGGAAAATCCCAGATGGGTTTTTGAATAATATTTCCCATGCATAAGGTGAAACATATTATTTTTCTTCTGACTTCCCTCTCTAATTAAGAAGAATGAACATTGGCCTTTGGTTTAAGACTGCCAAATTTTCACAATAGTCAAGGAGCATGTGGTATTAATGGACACTTTTTTATTACCACATGTATGTCTTACGTTTACATGGTATCTTTTCTAAAGGAAAGACTGTGATAAAATGTGGGAAGGTCAGTGCTGGTCAAACTTGTGCCAGATTCTGACCTACTGTAAATTAGGGTAGGTAAGTGGCAAGGAAGGCTTTATCTTGACTGAGATTTTGATCCTATGGGAAAAAAAATTCCTTGTCCCATCCAAAAGTTATGAATGTACAACCATTAAGATGACATGGTTGCTCCCTATCTACTGAGCAACTTCTCTCCACAATGAATTGAGAGTTGGATGGTTATGGTGAAGGATCTGACACACAGACACAACCCTTTCCCAAAACCTAAAATCTGAGAAGTTTTGTAGTTCCTTTGTCCCCTCACCTCCTGTCCCAATGGAGTTCTCTTATTTGCTTCACTTGCTTTAAAATGTTGTTACTCAGGTTCCAGACAGAGCAACTCAGGCCTTACACAGGCCTTCTGTCCACAGACATGCATTCAGAAATCAGTCTCCTTATGGTTTAGATGACTTTCTAGTAAACTCATAATCTGAAGTTGGTGTCTGATGTAAACTTCTACCAGCAGTTCCTTCTACAGTTGATGGAGTGAGACCAACAGGCTAATCAAAACATGAGTCCCATCTAAAATGTGTGCCCATGTCAGGTGAGATGAATCAAACCTAGAATTCTTATCTCTCTGTATTACCCAGGAAGTCTGGAGAATTAGTTTCTACTAAATACCTCACTTCTAGACCATCAATATCAGGTAGATTAAAAAAAAAAAAAAAGAAATATTTATACCACTTGTGTGAAGATCCACAAGATTAAATTCCTGTGTTTAAAGTCTTCAGAGCTTTCAATATATAATTTTTCACATCTGAGGCAATGAAAGATGCACTCCGTAGGATGGAGAAACAGAATTCCAATGTTTCTTGAACTACAGTTCAACTGATACTTCCACCTAGAAGTGCAAAGAGCTTTACACTAGCCCCCACCAGCTGCAGGTCTACATTGGCTGCCACCACTGCTCATACAGACAGTTCCGTGAACAAACACCACTCAGAACGGGAGTGATACTGTGGGCAACTTGCCCTGCTCCTGAAAAATTTATTTATACTTCCCAGAAAGCTGAGAATACCTGCATGTCATTTTGGGTGGTATATTGATACTTCTGGCTGTGTAACAGGAAAGAAAAAGGAAGGAAGGAAGAAAGAATAAAGGTAAGATAAAGGGCAAGGTTGAGGAGGAGAGAGAAAGAGAGGAAACCACATGAATTTTAAAAAACACTGTGAGAAAACTTTAACTTTAGAGGAGAAAACTTCAATTTTATATGAGCAATAAGAGAAACTATAAATTTCACAATGTTTTTTATTTTAGAACATGATTTTGAAAAGTTCTTTCTTTCATTCAAGTGAAATTCTGAGCCATCTTTTTTCCTTTTTTTCAAATGATCACATCTGAAGCAAAAGTCTACACACTGTAATATTTCTGTGGAGGCCAACTTTATGATAATGGTCAAATAAAAAGTTATAATGTTGTCTAGAGGTTTTAAGAAACCAGTAATATATATATATATACTCTGTGTAAATGCCCATTTTATTAAATATTACAAATAAAACTGGTGAATCATTTTTAGTTTCTCCATTCTAAAGACAAAACTTCTGCTAATTCTGTTTAGGCTTTACATATACATTTAATTACTTGTATTTTCCCCAATTTAGAAGTACTCTAGCTATTTAAAAGGCAAAGCTTATCAGTGTTAATATTTTTAAATGGCTCTGCCAGAATAACCAGGTCATGCTCAGAGGATGCCTCTGCATTCCTGAATGTGATGCAAAGGAACCAGGAACTTCTCAACTAAATCATTACGCACTATTACATGGCAGAACGTGTCTTCAAGCAATTTCCCAAAACTCGACATTATCATTAGCAGCAAACTATATGGAAGCAATCTTTTGTGGCCATCATCATGTCATCTCTTTAAACCATGAGAATGACCTAAACTGAATTTCCCATTTAGCCCTGCATCGTATCCTCCAATAACAGTCACTCCGTGTGGAAATACAATGCAGATTTGGAATGAGCTGCTGCAGAAGATACCATTTGTTTAATTTTATTTTCATTTTTAAGCCTATATTTATAATTCCTAAGCAATAATACAATTGATATATTTTTGGCCAGAAACAGGCAAGGAACTCCAGGATACTATAAAAGATATGTGCGTATAAAAGCAAAAAAGCCAGAATAAAACCCTAATACGGGTTGTCAAGATTTAAGGTGATCATTTACTCAGAGGGTTAACATGTGCTAAAATTACATACTGCAGTTCCTAGCTCCACTGATGAAAACATTCACTGCTTCTATCCTTAAATAAAAAAGCAAAATAGCCTTAACCCTTTGAGGATCTTATTAGCAGCAAGTTGCAATCTAAACAGAGAACAAGTATTTCAATCAATTAGGAAATTATTCTTACAAAGATTCTGTGAGCACCCTTTTGCATTCCACCATCCCAGCTTTTATTGCTGGATAGATCAGCTGTATTCACTCCACACAGGCCTGAAGTAGTTTCAGGGTCTCAAAGGGTTAAAGCCAAGGCTTTTGAGAAAAAGTGTTTTATTAAAAGGGTGAGTTAGGTGAGCGAACAGTCTCGGAGGAGCTTGGTGAATAGTCTTCCGATTCGGAGTTGAGTTCGGGTGGAGCTTGCTGAGCCTTATAACGTCCCCTCACATCCTGGTTGCGTCTTCGTCGGAAAACCTGCCTCTCCTTATCAAGAGCGGTGGTCTGGCAGGGGCATAAAATAAGAATAAATGAAATTAGGCTGTGTGTGAAACACAAAGATAATGAAAACCATGAGGTTTTATGTGGCCTGCAAATACCAGGGATAATAAATGTTCAGACCAAATTAAGCCTGCTCTGTCTCAGTCAGGTCTGAAAGGTTGAGCCCACAACACAGCTAAACACTTTAAAAAGTGCATTTCCCAAACCTTAAGAGGTAGCGTGACATCATCAAGCAGATACAATGCCATATATATGGATGCCATATGTTCTACTTCTGGATGTTATTAATTTCATCCTTTAACAGGATCAAATTTCAAGCCAAATACCGAGTGACCTTCCCCCTATCCTTCTCAAAGTATAAATCTGTTTCTACAGGCAAGGCAGAGATGTACACTTGTCTTTGATTTGACCTAATGAAGGCTGATACACACTCACCCGTGTTCAAGTCAGTGCAATCAGCTAACAAAGATGGATTGTGATGAAGTTGTCAGACAAGAGAGAAAAACAAACACCGAAGGGAGCTAGCCCAGCTCCTTGACACATCATGCCGCTCAATGGATGTTCTTAGGGAGAACGCTGAAGAGCTCTGACGGAAAGACCTGTTCAGCCTGACCACATTGTCTCTTCCTGTTAACCAAGGTCTACTGAACTCAATACTCTGCTAATTTTATCCATGTTTAGCTAAGTTATCCAGGAATGGTAAAGAGCAATATTTACTTGATGGCCATTAATTTTGGATCATTCTGCCATATTGAGAAAGCAATTCTTAATAAGATGGCTGTAACTTCCAGCCACATTCTTTCTTCTGCTTTTCTGGCACATTTACGAGGTGAAAATTCAACCCAAGTAAGGGTAGCCCTAGTCTGACTATCAGCTTCAAGCACATTACTGGGTTTTGCTCTCTTCTTGATTATGAAATCTTAGACTGCAGTCCCTGAAATCACTGTAAATTTATAAATTCAACAGGATGGCCTTGATTCAGCAAGAGCACTTTGACACGTGGTTAGCTGCTTCTGAAGCAGGGCTGCCCCCTTAAATCCCAACCCATGACTGTTTTGGAAAAAGCAAAATGGGAACCAGTAAAATGACTTACAAAATGAAACTAAGTATCTGATCATGGCACTGGAAAAAGATAACTTTGAGAACTAAATAGGTTTCACACATAAGGCTTGAAAAATTTGTCCCTATAATGAAAAGGTCTATTTAAAGGAATGCAGCCAAAAGGTTATTCTGCTTCAAAGAATTTATTGTGTTCTCTTAAGATATGCATGACTGATTCCTCTAGAAAATTTACCAGTTACAGTGTGAGCCTCACAGGAGAGCAGAGATGTATTTATAGCCAACATATTGTTGAGACTAAAATGAAAACTAAATCCATCATACTGGTGCAGAATAGCATTATAGCAATCCAGGCTTTCAAATAATGCAACCAGCATTCAATAATGATGTAACAGAGACAGAAAGATGGACAGGAGTACAGAACTATTATAGCAAATGGATTTAGTTAGGCTATATTGCTGAATGATTTTTTTGTGTGTCTAGAAACCATATAGCACTACTTTAAAAGGGTAAAGCGATCCATTTTGATAAGTTCATTCCTATATTTTAAATAATAATTGCTACAAAATCCAACACTTTGCATCTGCCATTTTTTTGTTTATTGCTATCTTTTGGTTAAGAGCTCTAATTAGTATTTTCAATGCCTTCTATGTTTCTTAGCCTTGAACCAATTCAGTTTTTGATTATTTTTAATGTGAAACAGAAGAATACCTACATCTTTTACACACAGAGAATATACTGCTTACAGTATGTAATTTTGTGTGAAAATTGAAAAGAATGGCATATATTACTGCTCTATAAAATACAGATTTCCATTTAAAGGATATTTTTTTATGCTTCCAGGAAATAAGCATTTATTTAAAGTTTAAACCACATCACATCATCCTGTGGTAACAGATACTCTCCCCTGAGAAATTTAAACATTTCTTGTTGAATACATAAAAATACTTGTATTAAATTGAGAATTTATTTTTAAAACCTACTATATGGGAATGGCAAATGTATATGCAAAACCTGAAGGTATTTAAATTTAGATAACGGACACATAAGGGAATGTATAAGAAAACTGGGGTTTTAGGATATTGCTTTTTATAAAGAACAAAGATAAGTAGGTACCAGAACATCTTTTCAGAGACGTCTGTAGAAATAAATCCCAAGATATTATATTTCTATGATTGTTGGAAAAGCTTTAGAGACTCTTCTTTAAATCTATTGTTTAAATATACATAAAAGCACTCCCTCAATAATAAAAGATATTAAGCAAAAACCCCATGACGGTCTCACACCTAAACTAGCACCTTATGCTGCTGTAGTCTGTAGGGCCAAATATTTCTGGCTTCCTAACCCTTCAGAAACTTCCTGAGATATTTTGTTACTTTCTTTACATTTTTATCCAGTCTTTGCCCTGGATTTGATCTAATCAGTCTTTGTAAAGACATATTTCTAGAGTATAGGGCATTATTGTGGTTATTCTCCTGGGCTGAGAGACATCCAGAGCCTTTCTCACCCAAAGAGTTTATTGAATAAAAAGTTACAAAGCCACAGAGAGTCAAAGAGGTCAGTATTTATCTAGTGAGAACAAAAATACACAGGTCATATTCTAATGTTTGGTGTTTACCATGTCAAAACTATGAAATGGGGCACTTCTGGCCACAGAGTGCTTAGGCCCTGTAGCACTTGCAAGAAAAGGCTCATTTTGCCCAATGTTCCATTGACATTGGACACTTCCAGTGTGTAATACACCGCTGATGATATTGTGTCTCTGCATTCTGCAAAAATGCTATTTTTCATTTAATGATGTTGCGGTTACTTTTTACCTTGAAAGAATTTCAAAATATGATAGATCCATCCTTTGAAAGGCAGAGAAGATGGTAAGATAGACACATGAGAGTATTGACTGCATGTGTTTTGTAAAGGTGATTTTCACCTATTGTACTTTCTTGTGTACATGGACATACTCCAAAAATCAGCTTTTTCAATATTATTGGTAACAAAGGCCTCTTATTGCCTTGGTTTAACAGGTGTGCTCTTTCACCTGCTGCTCATCTGGGTGGTTCGCCAGTGCATGAACCAGTCCATTATGGATTTCCAGGGCATTTCTACTTCAAGGTACTCTTTCAATAAATAATAGGAGGATCTCAAGTGCACTTATGCTTCACAGGGCTGCAAATCCCAGATTTTTATTATCACATTTTGACATTTTATTTTTCCCGGCTCTAGGTTAGAGATTGAGAACTTTGAGCACTACATGAGAGTAATGGCATAAAAAATGTAAAGACAGCATTCTTATTTAAGATATGCAGCTGCCCTCCTGCAATCCATATGAGAAAATGTAGGGCTTCTCATCCAGCAGAAGATAAGTGGATTGCCTCTAATAATTTGGTGGTGATGGGTCTGAAGTACTTCATTAAGAACTAATGTATTTTGCATCAACATTTAGTAATCCTGACACCCAGTACCAAATGGTTACCAAGCCATTCTTGGAAATGCATCTAATTTGTAGTAACAGAGCATTATTTTGAAATCATTGTTTCTGTCACTGACATATTAAGGCGCAGTTAGCATTTGTCCAGGATTTTTCCTTAAAGAGTGTCTTCATCCTGATTTCTAATACTTGAAGTTACAGGACTCATGAGCCATGCAAATCTATTTTTTATCTTGGAAAACACTGCACTGTGTATTTATGAACACATTTTCAAAAACTACAACCACTTTGATATATGTGGTGGATTTGCAACGGGAAGAGCCTTATTTTAGCTGTGGGCTGATATTTTCTGTCAGATCAGTAATTACTGGATTAAAGTAACTGAATTTTATGGAAGTGAGCAGTGACTGTTATTCTTTTCAGTTGTCTTAATTTACTGCTGGCCACCAAATATAGATATATATTAGTTTCATTAATAAAAGAACATTAATGTGCATTTTGCCTCTTAGTCCATACATTATTCATACCAGCCAGGAGACTAAACTGGAGATGCAGCTGTTCACGCATTAATCCAAGAAACCCTTCCCTTTGCTTGTTTTTATTCTGCAGGAGCATATTGCAATTTGTTAGCAATTTTTGTGAAGCTTTGTTTAGCATGTGGAATTAGATGAATCTACGTATTGAAACACAGGTATTTTTTCTTCCAGTACATTCTTTTATATCCATGGATTTATACACACATTTAAATGCTCACACCTAGATAAGTTTATCTTATTTCCTTACACTTCTGGCCAGTTACCTTTATACGTTGACAGGTTTCCTTGCTGTAAAAATGACCATTAAACATTGCTTGTGGCACAGGCCAGGCAGCCCTTCAGTCTCATCTTTTTTAAAATTTCTTTTCCATGGGTTTCTCAGGTTATATATATATATATATATATATATATATATATATATATATATATATCTTATATATATAAACTATATATGTATATAAAAAAGTGTGATTGATCGATGAATCAAGACACTTTCTTGAGAGTACTTCAAATTTAGCAATGCACCTCAGTCCAGGAGCAAGACACTCATGGTATTTTTAGTCCCTCAGGCACAAGGTATAACCAAGTCAAGTTACACGGTGATTTGGAGACGTGCAAATGACCACATCGAGGGGACAAATTAATCGAGTGGATTTGAACCCAGATCTCCAAATACAAAAGCCTGATGCTTTAGCACACCATGTAACTTCCGGCATGAAATTTAGCTAAAATGAAAGTAAAAAAGAAAGAAAACCAAATCAATTTGAAATATGCTTTGTACTGTATTGGTGAGTGAACACAAAGACAAGTATTCTGTATACATAACTGTTGAATTCATATTGCTGTGTTTAAGTTTGTGTTTACTCTTTGACATCCCCCTTTTTAGAGACACGATTCCTCAGCTGGTTTCAATTACATGTGGAAGAGAGCTAGTGCCAAGTTGTTTGCATGAGTGAATTTTATTTATAGTTTGTAAATAAGTTGTGGGTTTTTTACTCGAAGATCGGGAGAAGATATTTTAAATTATTTTAGGTATCTGCCTGTATTTACCAATATTCAGTTTACAGAGTGTTTTATGTTATTAAAAATTGCACTTTACAGATAGCAAGCCTGATTCCCAGTTTCCTTGTCCCATCACCAAGATGTCTGGCTGCAACTTTTGACTTGAAAGTGTGTTGTATCCACTTGGGACAGGTGTAAGTAACTCGACAGATGCAAAGTAATGTGAACTAGGAACCAAACACAGAGGATGGAATTATGGGTTTTCAAATGAGCTATTTAGATATATTTTTAACTGTGACAGTGAGAACTGTATTTTTAAATTTTTAAATACAGTGAGAACTGTATTTAATATTGACTAGATTGATAATTTTGTTAAGTATCCAATGTAACTCATCTCCTTTCTATTCTCATCATATAGACAGATCATTAATGACTTTTCCATACACTTCCTGGATTTTATTTTGCCCATTTTGCTTTTCTTGAGTGTCTTGGATATATAGAAAATAACACACCCTAATATTCCATACTAATATAATATATGTACTACTACACATACTGACATTTTCTACTAACTTGCTGATGGATGCAACCACTCTGGTTCTCCTTTGATATTCTGAATCAGCCCAATCTTCAAGGTTTTAACTGGGACCTCTAAGACTCGTCCCCTACTGATGCTGCTTTGGCCTTTACTGCACTTCTGATTGCAGGGCTGATGTTCCAACAACATTTGGTGGATTGGTTTTAAAACATGTATTAGTCTGGGATCCAAATGATTTTGCTGATTTAGGCCCTGTGTTTTCCCAGATCCTCATATTCAAGGAACTGTGAAAGATTTTCCAGGCATTATAGCTCATGCCAGCTGTATGTAAAAAATCACATCACTTCTGCATGTATTATCTCACTGAAAGGGAATAAAAGAAGATGCAGGATACACTTGGAAATTAGGATTTTGAAGGACTTTGAAAACAGAAGTCTTTTAGGCAGAGAAAGGACAAGGTTTCCTGGTTGTTGAAGGAGGAAATAGTACTATTTTGAAATTATTTTAGAAGACTTCTAGAAAATACAGATAAAAACTAAAAGAGGAGCGCAGAAGAAACGAGTAGTTTAACGCTAACAAAGGGAGCATTACATTTTCCTTGAGACATGGCTTCATTTTTCTCTGTACTTGTGAATTCAGATTAATTTTCATGTGCCTGTGATAAATTATTTGTTTATAGACATGAATTGATGAACCTTTTCATATGCTTTGCATCTGCGCTACTAAAAACTAAACACTAACTATATCAAAATGGTTTTATTTAGATGAAAATGTTGCTCACCACAACAGCTGCATGTTTCTGGGAGATGAGAGAGGCCCAAACACACGGCAGTGCTTGGGCCACTGTACCCCCTCGCAGAGGATTTCCTAATTAAGCATCCGCGCCTAGGAGCCCTGATCTCCCAATTTGCCTTTCCACACGAGGTGCACAGTTTAGAAAACCCTAATTATAAACATTGTTGTTACTGCCCCCAGCTGGAAAACAGAGCAGTTTATGTATGAATAAGAGAGATTATCGCCCATCTGCTCCAGCCAATTATTCAAGGATGTGTCATTTTGTATGCTGATGGCAGCCATTACTAGTGCTTTAGTCAAATGACCTTTTTTTTTAATAGCTTTATTTATTTACCAAGTTGCAGACTTAGAGCCTTCCCCCCTACCTCTCCAAAAATGCATATGGTTTGTTTCAAAACCTGGGCTATGCAGCTAAACTGAGTCAAGGCCAGTCTGAGATGTTCACTTTTCTCACAGGTTACTGTTTCTGGTGATCTGCTCCCCCTGAAACGAGGGTTTTAAAAGATCCAAATATTGTGTATAGCAAATGGAAAGACTTTCATTGCTTGTTTGTTTTTTTTTTTTATATAAAATAAAAAATGCAAATCAGAGAAAGAGTGTAAACTGACCATGGATAGCAATTAACCTCCAGGAAGATAAATAAAGCTCATGTGATCTTCCCAACCATTTTACAGACCAGGCATTAAATTTGCAACTCTTCATCAAAGTTCTGCTTGACAAAAAATTCCTCTAATACTATCAAACCCACAGTCATCTAAAGATGGGCACTCAGGTCCCATTCCCCCTCCTCCAAAAGCAAGGAGCACGAAGAAGGAGGCCAAGTGACAAGACAGATCAGCAGGTTTTGCTCTGCCTTTGCAGGTCACAGTGGCTTTGTAGCCAACACTACAAGTGTAAGAGGGTGGAATTAGATGAATTACAGGTACTGCTGCACTCCAGCACTCAGAGTGAGAGTCTTTCTCAATTTTTGCTAGCCAGCGTTCAACTCATGAATAGGATTGATTTTCTACTTTTTTGCCTGAAAAATAGGCTTATTTTTGAGTTTGGGATTGTTTCGTTTTTCTTTCCCCAGAACATCCATATCAGAAACTACTTAGCCCTCAGTGTGTGCTCAGGGAACCGTTAGGTTTTATGGAAAGCGTACTGCAGCTCGATCCATGCACTTGGTGAAATGATCCAGGGTGGGAGTTTTACTTCAGTGGAAACACTTACAGTGATCATCTCTGCTGTTTTGCTAAGCTGGTTACTTTGCTGAGATTTTACAAACCCCTCACAGACAAGTTCTTAAAGGCAGTGTTAGAAAACACAGGCCTCACAGTAAACTTATAAAATTTCTCAAGTTACCAAAATTCAAGTCTTGTGAGTAATAAGGAAAAAGACAGCAAGTAACCACTTGATGGGAACTCCAGTACTCTGGATTTATTGAGGAGGTGTGTGGGCCTCTCGTGGGCTATCAGACCTGGAAACCACCTTGCCCCCACTCCAGAATAAGCCCCTCCCGCCCCGAGCCCCATTTTATCATACAGGTTAAGCCAGCTAACAACAACCCTGGCACAGTTACACAATGAAGATAAATATATTCAAGAGACTCATGCAATATTTAAAAAAAAATCAAACCAAAATAAATAGGTATCAGAAGGGTTTTAAAAAGAAAAGAGAAGGAATGCATTGTTAGAAACACAAGCTTACCAGCACATACAATGCATTGTATTTCAGTGAACTTGGGAGAGTTTCTATGCCCGCGTTATGCAAATGCATTGTTCAATCTAAGGTAAGGATTGTGTTTAGTGGGTTTAAAATGACAGTATATAGCTCCACATCTTATATGGAAAAAGAGGAAAATATATGCTGAGAGCCTGTTGCTGCTCCGTGTGTTTTGAAACAGGAGCACAGGGGAAGCAGATGCCTTAACAAGCAGAAGGGAGGGGGAGGGTGCGTACTTCAGCATATCTGTAGATTTTCTATATACACTGTCCTTTTAACTACAGGGGAGATTGATACTGAGCATGTGCAATGAAGAGAAAGCTGGCAATGTGGGTGTGAGGGATGGGTGAAGAAAGGGAATGAGGGGGTGTGGCATCTCAATCAAGATTAAAACGAAACTGATAAAGCAGCATATGGACCAGATAACAAATCAAAAAGCATGTTTATCCACTGAAGGAACTGGTTAATGGAGACTGCCAGCACGTTGCCATGGAAACACTGACTGTTGGCGCTGCACCATCTCATACCTTATCCAATACATTCCTGGTTGTTGGTAGTAGTCCAAAGACCCTGATCTCTTGATGGTAAACCCGTGGTCCAGCTGAGCAGAGAGAAATGGGGCAACTCAGTGGATCGACATTAGGCTAGAGAATTCAGACTCCAGAGCAAGCTGTTCCTTATTTAGTGCATATTTACTCTTTTCACTTTCACTGTTATCTAACATCCTAAAGCTATGTACCGCACAGGAAAAAGGAAAAAAAAAAAAAAAAAAAAAGAAATAAAAGAAAAAGATACTAATTCTAGATTTGGTCTTGCCAAATTAGAAGCCAATTTATTCAAACTAAAACGGGGTTTGCAAATCCATTAGTTAATGCATAGTGCATTCATTTAAAAGTCTGAAATATCTCATTACCTCCAAAGACAGTAGTGCCCTTTTAAGTTGCACATACCAGTAATAGAATATTATCTTTTGCAATTAAACTGAGAAATTAAAAAATAATAATTTTAAAAAATTAAATGCAGTGCAACCATCACAAGGAGCAGGCTAGACAGACTACACGAGTCTTAAATTAGACTGCTTCATAATCATGGAATGTGTAAAGATGAAAAGAATCAGGTTTTGATACCCCATCAATCATGGTAATTCATTTCTAAAAATGCGTTAACCTTGGAGAGTAGGACTACTCAGAGCCATGAATAACATTGTTTATCATTTCAACTTACACCTCATGCTCAAAAAGATAACAGTACAAAACTATTTGGTTTAAAATTGCACCAATTAAAGTCAAAATGAAAATGAACTTAACATTGTGTCCAGGAAATTGTGCTGGTGATATTACTTAAGGACTGTGGATCTTTCAAGTTTAGTTTATCATCAGCAAAATCATGTGCATAGGAACAAAGAAAATGTGTTCTTTTCCCTAACCCTTCTGTGCTGCACTAACAGATGGTAGAAATATAATTTAGCTGAATTACATAAAATTTTTTGGAAAAAATCTTGACAGAGAAACTCTAACTGCCCGAAAGCTGTTGCAATGATTTTCAAATTTTTGCTCTATGAAGGGAAAAGGCCATTTTGGGCTTCAATAAGAGTGTAGCATATATTTCCAATACTGATGACAGTTTCTAATTCTAAATTCAGAATAGCAGTTCAACACATTTCCAGGTACCAACCACTTAAAGGGGAGTTAGGAACTAACTGCAAATTTAACTTTTTCTTGATGACTCCTCTGCAAGTGTAGAATTTAATAATTTATTCTTTTTTGCTAAAACAATGCTTCTTTCATCTTATTTAGAATTATTTAAATCATGTTTCCTGTTTAAAGCCATGGGAACCTTGTACCTAGAGTTAAATTTGTGTTGGCTTAACTACGCTGGTCTGCTATTGCCATCTACTGGCTTCCTTGTATGCTGCACATAAAACACACAAAAGGGATGATTTCCTAAAAAGCAGATCAAAAATATTGCCCTAAAATTGAATAGCCAAAAATTTATTCAGAAAAAATGGGAAAAGTCGCTCCCTAACAAGAGCTGAAACAATTTTGGTGGTGTGGAAATCCTGCCATGAGAAACCCAACTGTGGAAAATGACCCCAGGACAACACAGACAATAGATGTAAAAGGATAGCCGAGACACAGGTTCAGCTTTAAAACTTTAAGCAAAACGTACAGTCTAGGCTTGGCTTCTCCTCCACACCAACCAAGAAATCCCAAGACTAAAAATTCCACTTGGCATGGGTAATTTTCATTTTAAAATCGGCAGAATGCAGGGCAATGACCCACATACTGCCTGCCCATTGCCAGGGTCCCCAACCCAGGACCCTGTGAGCAGAAGGGAGCTGCACCAACTTTCTAAGCAGCTTTTCTCCTTTTCTGTTCTACTTGTATACTCTGCATCTCCAGCTGGAGTTTATTCCCATTGCCAAGAGAAAGACCTCATACAACCTTAACAGCAGATTAGCATTAGTCTTTTTCTCTGTCCTAACAATGGCAAAAGTACAAGCACCAAAGTGATGACATACAGGCTAAGATTTAACACTTCAGACAAGGACATGTATTAAACGATGCTCGGTTCATACAAGGAATTACAGCACACCTTTGGACTGCAGAAGCATTCTTACAAAGTGATTTGCACTCTTAGTTGCTCTAGCCACTGTCACTGAAGCCTAAAGGGTACAGCCACAAGGGTACTGTTTTGTGGCCAATCCAAAATAAATGGAATTGACACCCTTGAAGAGCTGAAGAATAAAACCTACCCCAAAATTTTAAAAAGGCTAGTTATTGTAAACCTGCTTTTATGTTCTTACTGCAGTACCTTTTATAAACACCATCACAGAACTAAAAAATACTGCTCCTATTGAAAAGCTGTACGAGAAACATGATCCTGCAAATATTTTGGCACATGCTTAACAGTAATGTGGCCATTCTGACACAGACTGAAGGGCACTAGCCCAAATGGTCTCCCACAGAGACCGGTAGTCAACGCCTGTGACAAGAGTTTAAGAACAGGGCAAGTAAAGTGATATTTCTCCTACATAGTCTCTCTTCAGCAAGCAGTGTTTTTTTGGGACTTGCTAATTCTCTTGCTGTTTTAAAAGCCAGCTCTCCAATTAAAAATTTGCTGGTAAAGCTATGTTGGTTCAGGGGAATTTTTTCCCAACTGACATAGTTACTCTGGCAGAACTTTTAATGATGTATTATTGCATCAACAGAAAAGTCTCCTCACTTGTATAGCTAATTTTGTTAGAGAAATCATTCTACTACATCAGCAAATGAACTGCTTTGCTAGGCATGCACATGTTCATTAGGGTAGTTTGTCCAAACTGACGAATCTTTTCAAATGTGGACAAACTTGAAGTCTGGACACATGCACGAGAAGTAGGATGTCTCTGCCTTGGACAGACAGAGACAACTTTTACTGAGATTACCACATCAATAAAGCAGACATAAGTCTGAACCAAAGGAATCGAGGCAATTTGGACATTGCTGAAGGAAGCAGTAGCCACAGAAGTTGTAAAAACACATGTAGCTTCAAACTTCCTTTCAGTCAAGCTGACCAGAGACACAGCTTTAGGAACTTAATTTTCATATCATAGTTTTAATTGGTGCATATGATAAATATTCCTTGAGATCTTTGAGGTGTGTTACTTTTTACCACCAGAGAAAAAAGGCATATAATATCACATCATACCAATGTGAGGACAAACTAAGAACTAAATACCACATATTAGCGAGCTCTGTACATAAACAGGGTTATAGTACTCAAAATAATGATAATATATATCTTTCATACTATTAAGCTGCAGAAATATAAGCACATATTAACACATTTTCACAAACACAGACACAGATGTGTTATATAATATACAGATGGCAATTCTATATATTATATACACAAGTATTCTCTCAAAAAGTATGTAAACATACAGGCAGGCACAAACCCCCAGTATTTTTTTTAGCAAATGTAGTTAGTGCATGTCTTTAGTGCCAAACAATATGTTACAGCCTCTATACATACTTTGAAAGTTCTAAATCTAGATCAGCCTTTGTTAATATGATTTAATTTTAGCTTATTTGAGATTTCACAGTTAAAGGGAGATTCCTAAACATAAAACTCTGGTGACATGCATGTCAAATGTATATTAAATAGACTACCAAATGCAGAAACAACAATTAAAGACATTGTTGTTCTGCTTTTGGCTTTCTTTTACATATTCAATTATTTCTGTAGAAAACAAAACTAATTTATTAATAAAATGGAAATTATCTAGCATTGTGAAACATTACCAAAACACTAAAGAGGTCTGTATTTCCCTATCTCTTCTAAGTATTCTAAACATTTCTACTTTATAGGCCGAGTTGCAGGATCAGTCGTGTCAGAATATGAAGTTTGCCCACAGAGATGATTGCTAAAAATAATCTGTTAAATTTCCATACACTAAAAAACAAATAAAAGTCATTAAGAATATAATTAATCATACACATTTTTTCCTGATTTTTTGCAGTGTACAGATTCACTACAGTGCCTTTTTCATTACTCAGGTGTTAAACTGCTGCAAACAATTCCTTGGCAAAGCAACTGGGGCAAATAAAAAAAAGGGGAGGGCAGGGAAATTAAAAACATAAAGGAGGCAAGGGATGGATGAGGACAGAGGCATCATTTCTTGCTTTTAAGCCTTGAAGTCATTAGCATGGAGGATCTGAGCAGTAATTCTCATGGACAAGCGTGCTGGCAGTCCATTCAATAGGAACACAGTTTCAGCTAGTCTATAAAGAACATACCTGCAGTTCAGATGAGCAATGGGTATGTGATGTTTTAGTTGTGGGAGAGTTGCTGCAGTATTATTGCTTAAAAATGAAAATAAATAAATGCTGACTATGTTAGCTGATGACTGAAAAAATCTAGGAAAAGCATGAGGAACAACTTGCTGCCATGTTGAGGACATTCAGGGTAAGAAAGAGTAAAGAAAAAATATGAGAGAGGCACAGTTTGAAATTTTTAGTACTTATACCAAGTAACTTTGAGAGAGTATCCCTTTTGCTGCACAAGCACTTCACACCTGTGAGCCAGATTGCATGTGCTGAGCTGAATTTATTTCATGCTGATTTAACTCAACACTGGAGGGGCTGAGCTGAGAAACATGAAAGTGGAAACAGTACAAGAAAGTGTACATGTGCAGTCACACCACCTGCAATTTATGGAAGCTGGGAATGAACATTGAGTAATCTGATATGGGAATGGTTACGTTTAACATGTCACATTTTTAGTGACTCTTTGGAGTGTTCACATTACTATGAGTAATAAAGGAAAGCTTACAAACACAAGCAGATGTATCAAAAATGTGAAGGATGTGCATGTTACTATTCAATGGCATTAGTATGAACAATCTCTTCATATGCTGAATATATCCTATGTCCATGTATATGTAATACACATGTGCATCTGTGAGGAAAAAATACAATTGTATGTGATGTATGCTCCACTGAGGATGCCATTGAAATCTCAGTAAAGCTTGGTCAAAATTTTGGCCAAGCTTTGTTTCAGACACTCTGACATGTTCAAACCTGGAATGGCTCCACTGGAATTACAATGTGACAGAAGGCAGCAAGAAGTTCCATTAAGTCTTTACCCCATTAAATACTTCTGCTGACAGGGAAGCAGGTTGTGTGTGGCACTACAATAAAATGCTGCTGCCCAGCTAAATCTGAAGTGACTAGACTCATGTTAACCATGAAGGCAGCAGTGAGGCATCACAGCTCTCTTTCATGTCTTCAGAGAGGAGAGGTTTAGGCTGCCATAGAGATTTTCAATTAAATTCTGAAGAAATTTCCATTTTAAAGTGCTGCTGTCCTCCTACAATCTCTGTGTGGCCTAAATCCATATAATGAGTCTGCTGCCAAGTAAAATGTCATGATCCCAGTTCAAATTGTTGAATTTATGTTGGAGTTAGGTCCACTGATCTTCTGGTAAAATGTGGAACTGTGTTCTCTGTGTACAGTTATACCTCCTAGGGCAGTTAAATAACAATGTGACTCACAAGGAGAACCAAAGGAGAAGTTGTGCAGGATACCAGTCTAACTATGCTGATATTAATTAAATGCTACATTTATCTAAATATTAACCCTCTCTGTTTTCTTTTGGTGTCATAAACACAAAACTGGCTGGTGGGCACATAAATCTGTTTCATCTGTGTATTTCAGATGCTTACTGCTATGACAGAAACTCCAGCTGCTGTGCTGTTCGGCTTAGGGCCTGTGTTGAAATGCTTCTTTATCTTCCCAGCTACTGAGAGCTGATGTTCGTTCTCTGGAAGGCCATCATCCTGCAGACAAATAAAGCAAAATAAAACTTCAGAGAGGAAAGACAAAAAAAAAAAAAAAAAGAGGAACTGTGAGGTGATTCTGACAGGTCAATACAGAAAAGGGTACAAAACATTTGTATTAAAATATGGGTCAATCATTGTCGCCATCAATACATTTACGGTACTTGAACACATCATGGCACCAAGCAGTCTCTCGCTTCTTCTTTACCCAATATTTTCTTCTCAAACTTTAGGTAATGTTCATTAATAATAATTGTTAAACAATTCATTTTCCTTACCATTTCTTACAATTTTCTTTCATTAATTACCACTACCCAGTTATTTTTATGCCCATTGATATTTCAAAACCTGACAACTTCAGATGTGTTTAAGATTCTCTTTACTCATCACATAAATTTAATGATAATGACCTCAAAAGTAAAAAGTCTCCAAGATATTACAAAAACAAGAGGTTGGGCTGGGTCATTCCTTCTTCCAGCTGAGTCTTCTCACTTTGGAGAGCAAACCTGGATACCTGCACCTAGGGAGACTGGCATCCACCATACTGAGCAGAAACCCTGACAGAAAGAATGGAGTTTGTGGTTTTGCACAAGTCCGCACACTGAATTCAAGCCCAGGAAAAGAGGAGGGTTTTTTAGAAATTGTAGCAAAGATCTTTATGCCTTAAAAACGTGCAAAAAGCCACTACTAAGCGAGACCCTCACTAGCAGCAGGATTTCAGGCAAAAATACACAGAACACGTGGAATAGGAAACAAAATATACAACAAGCAAAATATACAGAACCATGTGCCATAGTCATCCCTGACTGGTGCTGCATGGTATGTATAGGAATAAACAAATGAAATAATTCTTAAACTCCACTTAGGCAAAATCCTAGCAGAATAAAGGAAAACAAGAAAATATTAGAATAGTGAGAGATGACAGACACTTTTTTCTTTTATTTTTCAGCCATTATGAGTGCCCTTAAAGAGTTACAGAGCTGCTGCAGTAAATCATGAGCTCAGTGAGTGTATGAGAATTTTAGGGAGGTAGGTAGGGTTTGTTATTTATTTAGCTTGGGGAGTTTGTGTTTAGAGATCCCTTACTCACCCCTTAACAAAATGTCTCAGCTGGCAAAATATGGTCAAGTGCACACAGCTGCAAAACACAAAACAAAACAATACAACCCAGTAGCTGATCATTGTCTATCACTGGGGTGTCCTGGCTTGGTGGTATATGACCCCTAAAAATAACCTGCTTCCCGTTGACCTTGCCTTTCCCAGAAGAAAGCTAGTCTGTAAAGTGAACTCCTCGTCACGAGAGGAGGGAAGAAAAATAAAATCATTCTCTTGGCTTTCTTGACATGAAAGTCTGCCAAGCGTTCATGTCATCTTGTCAAAAGACTAAATTACAGACAAGACAACAGTTACCAAGACTTTGGTCGTATTTTATTGGTGAAGAACCACATCCAAAGCTCCTGTGGCAACATGCCACAGACACATAGTTTGGGCTCCAGCTTTCAGATTAAATACCTTCCAGCCCAGTTTAAGATGCAGCATAGGAATATATCAGAATTCCTCTATTGTTACTAAGTTTTGATTACTACTGTTAGTGCCATCTGATGTTTAGTAGTTCTCTTTATTCAAAAATGCTTTATAAAGAAATCAATATATATTAAACTGGCTCCTAGAATTATTTCAGTCAACAAAAAGATAGCTATTGAGGGTGAGAGATGACAACTGTTTATCTAAATACAAAACAAGTTGCTCTGCAGTTTTAAAAGGCAAGAAGTGAAAAAAACACCCCATCAAATATCAAATTGATCAGAATCATCAGGATAGAACACCAGGACAGAACTGGAGAACAGTGTAAACACTGCTGACAAGAATTTCATTGGGTTGCTGAAATGGGAGGGATGTCAAACCCTGCAGAGGTTAACTGTTTCTTTCCCCTGTTCTAAGCCTTTGCTTTTGGCAGTGGGCTAGGATCACAGAATTTCATCTCAGCCTTAGCACTAATCACAAGATTTTTTTTTTTAAGGTGAGCAGTTATTTTTTGTTGCTCCAGTTAGGAACTTTAAAGAGTCATGAGCTTCAGAAGATGTTGACTGCTAATAGTCTGAAAGAAGAGCTCTCCTGTGCATACCTCAGGAGCTGAGCAGTCAAAAGAGTTTGAAAACTCTGGCTCAGAATTTGAGTTTTCACATGGACAATATAAACTGCTTGGAATGTTAACACATTTTTCTTTTTTGTTTTGGGGTGTTTTATTTTGGTTTTTGTTTGTTTGTTTGTTTGGGTTTTTTAAGCAGCCTCTACAAAATACCTTTCATGGTCTATTTACAAAAATTCAAAATAAAAAAACAATAAAAAAGAGGCAAAAGGTCTTGGAGAAAATCTAGTAATTGATAAAACCTCTTTTGATATTTGTATTGTTCCCTGTGGCAGGAGACATTGCCACTCAAAGTAAATGTTATAAAGATGCAATGAAGCTCAGGATTCCCAGACTCCTACTGCCCTGGAGTGCTTAGATCCATTTCACAAGATGGTCGCAAGAGCTTTACTTTCCAAGTCTAGAAATGTCAGATGAATAGATCATTATACAAGTAACAGCAGGAAATTAGAGTAAATAGAAGTGCTGGAAAAGCTTTTGGACACTGTTTCCTTTAAGGATTCTAAGGAAATTTTTTTTGTACAGTGTTCTAGGCTGTAACCAAAAGTAGTGCAGCTGCAAAATAAGGATTGTCTTTTAAAATTACTTTTCTTACAAATGTTTAGCTTAATGATACTTATTGCTTGGCTATTAATTTCTTTTGCACACAAATTTATAAGGCAGACATATTGAGGGAAAAATATAAAAGCTCCAGGTTCTCTAATTCTTTTTAGGCTGGTGTGTGGCATCTTTCTCTCCCATCAACAACACACATTTCATATTGATTATTTTAACAGAGAAGGATCTACAGAATGCAATCCATCCCTTTCAGCATCCCTTCCTAATACATCCCTTTCACTGCTCAGGGATGTATTAGGAAACATTTACTACTTATACAAAGAAGAATGAGTTTGTCCTGTAACTTGTTTCAGGTTATCAATAACATCAGAGTTTAAAACGCCAAATCTCAAGCTTCCTGCTTCTTTTATAATTCTTTAACTTTGCAAAAAAAAAAAAAAAAAAAAAAAAAAGAGCAGGTAAAGTAAAGATTTGGGGTCCCTGTAGGGGAAGTATAAACTAATGGATTTTTTTCCAGGTCTAAGTGTACTGCATAGGAGAGATGATGCCAAATAAATGAAATGGAGGGGGCAAAGAACTGCTGCTGAATTGCATTAAGAATTCAAGATCTCCATCTGTGGCAGTGGCATGTAGCCAACATCTTTTCAGGTTTTGTTTTTTGAATTGAAAACAGCTGGGATATTATTCACATTGAAACTGCTTTACTGGTCTGACTCTGACCATAACAAGCTTTGCAGTTTCCAAGAGGAATCCAGATATTTTTATAGCAAAATCTTAAACTGAAATGAGGGTTTGCTCCTACTGAAACTGTCAAAGCACATTCCAGGAATCTCAGCAATTTACCAAGTAATCACATAATAAGCAGCTATAAAGTAGAATGGTTATTTACAATCTACAAAATGGTTTTATACAGTGTAAGCAGTTACAACACTTCTATCAAAGGTTTGATCAAAGAGAGAAAATGTTTCTTAAAATTGTCAAAGAAAACACATGCCTGCTTTTCAAGCCAACTGTTCTATCTAGTATTTTAGCTGGAGCTTTAACACTCTGAATACGTTCAAAACTGAAATAAGGGAAGTGTTGTAGTGAGCCCTATCCCAGCTAAAAGTAATAGAGAAAGTAAACTCCAGCATTTGACACCATGGAAAAGTATTAAAGCAGTTTACCTGTGAAAATGGAGTGTAGGTGAAAATTCCATGTGCCATTTCTTCTCAGAAAGACAGTAGACACAGAACTGCTCAGGTAATTACAACACATAGGTTGCAGAGCCTTTTGTAAACAGGGATGAGTGCATTAATTATTTGTCCTGAAGCTGGGAAAATTAGGTCCAGGGAGGCTGTGTGACAGATTTGCAGCTGATCCAACCAGTGATGGCAGAGGTATGTGTATTTGGATCTGACACTGTACCTTCTGCCTCTGTGCATCAACAGGCTGCGCCTGCTAGCTTATCTACTGATACAGCCCAGACAGACTTCAGGGAAGTGCCCTTTCTCATGGAACCATTTAAACACCTCTTTCAGCTCAGCCATGTTCTTATTTCTTCCAATATGAATTAGGATTGTAGTGCCATCTAGTTAATTTGATGCCCAGTATTAAGTGCTTCCATGTGTGAAATGGGAGCAATGTTTGGAATGCGTTAAACACTTTCCTGAACTGGTCCCAGTGCTAGACTTTTTACTTCCAGAAAAAATATATGGAGGACATAAGAAAATTCAAAAGCAATTTTGATCCACATTATGAACTATCTCTAGTGTAATGATGCAGAAAAAATACTGATTGTTTTCAGTTATTAAAAGCAGCAGAAAAAAAGGAATTAGAGAATTGTCATGGAATATTTGTTTCACTTACATATAGACAGAACTGCTATGGGTTTTGATTGCAGAGAATTATTACCAGCATAAAACTGCAAGTGCACCAGAGCTAGACCACAGAAGAATTGATCACTGCATTCTGTTTCTAACAGTGCATCACAGGCACTCTTTAAGAAGTAGTATATTTAATAGAAGCTAGTAGATCTTGGAATTTCCCTGGTATATAGTCTAGTTCATGCCAACCGAGTACTTAAGAACTTTGTGAGCCAAGAGCTCTATCCAGTCCACTATATTTAATAAGCACCAATGGGATCATCCTCCAAAAATGTATTAAATTCTCTTTTGAGTCCATTTATAGCAGTTCTGTACACCACCTTCTGGCAAAGGGTTCTGCATGTTAACTTATTGCACAGAAATTCAGGAATTTGCCAAGGTGCTTCAGTAACCAGAGCTCAGGTTTTTCTAGCAGAGCTCTGGAGTGTTAAATGTCTTTAGACCCCAGCTCCTCTCTCCTGCTATCCTCACCAGCAGGTACTGTCGAGGGCAGGGAAGCAGATCCTCATGTCACTTGCACACTACCACCATCAGTTTACTGCCAAAGAGCTACACCTCTTCTTTTTTACACATCACACTAAAATGGCTTTTTAAAACACATCATGGTGTAGCAATTTTAAAAAGTAAGTATCTGGGGGTAGCATTAACATTTCAAATATATTAAAAAAAAAAAAATGGAAGATTAGTGACCCCTTCCTTAAGTGGTGTAAGCAAGTGACATTTCAGTAATCTCAGCAGCAGTGTGCAGGCTCACGCTGCGGGCGACTTGGCCTCTGTGTGGCTTCTGATCAGTCACTTCCATCTCTTCCTCTTCAGCACCCCAAAAATCTCCACATGTCCTCCTCCCATGGAGACAGAGAGATCCCTCAATCACCATAAGGCATTATAAACTGTGACAGAACACCATGTCCAAGGATAGCCCCTGGCACCAAGGAAAATAAATATTTCAGCTGCTTGAATGTCATCTTCAAAATGAAAAGATTTTCATCAGACATTGTCCTGGATCCTTGCACTCTTCAAACACCACAGAAGAGCTCTGCATGTTAATAGCATTTACAATTTAAAAAGTAGTTTGGGTAATAAGGGAGCCCTCCAAGTTTAAAGCATGTACTTGAAAAATACTTAAGGGATCACTACTACTCTATATGGAGGACTCTTCAATAAAAAAAATAAATATCTGAGATGACTGTATATTTGAAGTTTTAGGATAGTTTTTCAGTGAGAAAGGGATTTTGGACACAGCAGCTCAGGGACCAAAGAGCATTCCAGGGAGGATGCACACTCAAACTTGCAACAAACAAAATGAAGCATTGTTTCCTCTTCCTGTATTTTTTTTTTTCACTGATCATCCCAATTGTGTTTCTTTTCTCAGGTGTCCCTTCTGAACTGGAATATAGATTATCCCGATTTTTTATTTTTGTCATCCAAATATTTTAAAACATGTTAAATAGTCTGGAATAATTAACAAATCCTAAATACTGTCAGAAGCTAAATATGATTCTAAATGTTCCCCTGTTCCATTCTGGATCAAGTAGGTTTAACAGTAGTTTTAACAGTATGGGCTATATTTCAGTAACTCTTAATCATGACTTTGAGATTTTTGAGCCCACCTCATCTCAGGAGAATAAAATGTGTCACTGAACCTGCAAGCTGAGAGGTAGAGATATACATTTATCAAATTGGATTGAGATTTGTTCAAAGTCCATTTCAGAGAAAATGTAGCTGAGAACACACAAAATAATGACAACTCCAAGGTACAAAATACACTAAATCAGCCTGTAACCCAGCTGATTTCCAGTTAAATCTGTGGCATCTTTAGAATGTGCTGGCTTCCAAAACGGCATAGCAAGAGCTTGACAGAAAAGAACTCAAAGGTGTCAAATTGCAAGAAGCATATACAAGTCTGAAAATACTTACATTAACCCATGGATGCTCAAGAACTTGCAAGGCTGAGAATCGCAGATCTACATCTACTTGAAGCATCATTGTGATAAGTTCCTGAGAAGTTGAATACACAGTTAAAATTAAAGAACACTTTCAAAGAACAGATCAACAGTTCATACACTTAAGAACTCTTTAACTGATTTTGTAAGAGTGCTCAAAGAGAGAGTGAACTACTGACTGAAGAAATATACTAAGATTATTCAAAAAATAGAAAAACTATAAACTGATGAACTCTCAGCTGAACTTCTAAATCAATATCTGACAGTATCTTGAAAAGCAAGATGACAGTTCTGAGTTACGGCTCTGAAGCCACTGTTTAAGAGAAAAGCACTTAATACATGTTGTGCAAAATAGATGGTCTCATGAAATTAGGTTAGCTTTCCATTAAGAAAAAGCCAATTCCTCTGTAGGAAAAAAAAAGCCAGCAAAGAGTTTTACTTTAAACTCTTGTTTAAATAACATAGAAGATATTAAAAAAAAAAAACCCTGACACTTAAAATCATTATTTTTCATCCTCTGATTTTCTCTGCAATTACCTAGATTATTTTATTCACAGAGTGGAGTGCATGGAAACAGTATGGCAATATGACAGCAAATAAAGGCGCATCACCAAAGACCAAAGCTGTTCATCCTTAATTACAAGAATAACTTAAATGGATAAGCTAAGGCTTCAAACCAGAATTTTTAGACAGAACTATTTGACAGAAGAAGTTTCACAGGAAAACCCACTGGCAAAGGACTTGCAAGGTTCCCATTAATGATGCTATGAAATAATGCCTGCTACAACACAATGATTTGGTTTAGAGGACTTCCAACTCTATGATTGTATCTTATTCTTTAATCTCATTAGTTAGAAGTCTCCACATACCTGTAAAAGCAGTATGTAACTCTCCAAGGAATGGAGATTCAGAGCTACTCTCATACCTGCATCCACCTCCAAATCTAACTTTTTTTTTCCTTATGATTAATCAAACCCTGTCACACTGAAGGAAAGAGGAAGACAGTTTTTCATAGATTGCCTTACAGACCAGAGAAGTAAACTGACTGAAAGTAAGCACTTACCTATCTACAGAATGACCATGTGATTTTTGTTTTTACATTCACATAAGTATTTTGTCTCTGTCCACATATATTTATACATATGACTGCAGTGAATGCCAGATCCCTAGAAAATCTTTGAGTTAAACTGTTGCTCTAATGAATTGGTGAGAGTTAAAAAACCTGATCTGCTTTGCAAGTATAATGAAGTCTGTCAAGGTTTGTATCTGTAAATAATTACATCTGCCTTAGCACCCCAAAGCCTGCAGGTCAAGAGCTGTGACCAGAACAAGTCTGTATTTCATACCACTCTGCAACAATAAGGCAATGGGAGGCCTGGTTCTTTGACAGGAAGGAAGAACAGACATAACATCTAATGGGGTCAATAAGGGAAATCAGCCTCTCCATAATATTATTGGATAACATTCCAAGGCTCCAGGTTGGTACCTGGTGCCCCTCTTAAGTACATATAAAGCACAGTCCAAGAGAGCTTTCAAGCTAGGAAGTGAATTACTTTAATTTTTTCTTAATCAATAAGGGCTGCTGGTGTCTGTGTTGTGTGAGAAATCATATAGAGACACGATGTCCATTTCAGAATGGGGTCCATTTCAAAACCACCTGGGGTCTAAAAGACAGTAACTAAATGAAACATAATTGGTGACCCAGAGGAATTTATAGGTGTAGCAGGAGACATATGAGACATGTCAAATACAACACTGTGAAAGGACAACATGCATTAGGCACTCCCACTGGAAATAAAACTGTAGAAGAAAATAGCATCAACTGTAAAATTCACCTTTGCAGAGTCAGAAACATTGTCCCAATATGGCGACGGAAAATCCATCTGTCCCATCAAAATCTGATCAAAAAGCACTTCCTGGTCATCTCCACTTCTGTAAAGTAAAAACCAAGGAAAACCAACAACAAAACCCAAAAAGAAATTACTTTCAGATGTGGTTTCAATAGACTTCTTAAAATTGCTTTTAAATTCTCATGCCTTAGTATGCATTTGGAAGATGTTGATTGCCCCAAACATGCAGCTATGGGTATTAAAGGTGAGATCATAAAACACAGTGCATGTGGTACACTCTTCCCTTCTGCTTGTCTTTAGGACTGTCCACAACTTTGCAGTTGCTTTGAGGAGATGAAATATTTTACACACCCTTATTAACTGGCTTACATTTTAATTACCTTTTACCAACCACAAAATATGCTGCATTTTGTCTGTGAAAGAAGATGGTTATTTCACAGTGTATTTAAAACTTCAGACAAAGGCACGCAGAATCTATAATGAAGGCTCTTGTTCTGCAATGCAATGAAGTTGAAACTATAATAAACAAACACGAGACAGAGATTTTACCATAAAATCACAGACATTTATGGGGCTTGTGTAGAACACTATGCAGAGCACAGAAAAAAAACATCAAACCCTATGAGCAGACAACTTCTACCAGTGGGAATCTCTGTGCTTAATGTGAAAGGAGCGCAGGGACCAATTCATATAACAAGGATGGTTGAATAGGTCAGTCCATACCCACGGAATGGAGGAAAACCACAGAGCAGGATGTAAGTAATCACACCCGCTGCCCAGATGTCCACCTTCAAGCCATATCTAGAAGTGTGAGAGACATGGTTAGAGACCTCAGATTCTTACAGACTACAGAGGAAATATGTTCAGAATCATTAATAATTTCTCATAAATTCTCATCTGAACTTTGTTTACCTACCAATCATTCTGCTATCAAATATTTTTTGCATTTACATCTTAAAATCAAAATTAAAATTACATTAGATAAGAATGTGTGAGTGCACAGAAGACATTGGGCTGTATTCTTCAGTTAGTTAACTAATTCAAGTTGAGTTTACTTGAGTTAGTGATGCCTGTCAACAAGTCTGCAAAGGTGACACAGACTGCTCAAGCCAGCAGGCATTTACTCTGTGGAACAAGTCAGAGGAGGATAGTGTGAAATAACAAAATAGAATTAAGTGAGTGGTAGTTAGCAGTCTCTAGAGAATAGAATTACTTCCACTGTATCTGCAAAGGGCTAGTTAATAACTCAGTGTTAAGTTGAAAAGTTTGAGGCCAACAGCTGGCAGAGCTTGGCCAATGTAACTCAAAAGCCAGCCTGCTCTGAACTCGTTTAGGTACGATCACCTCCAGAGGTCCCTTCCACATGTATTGTTCTATGAGCCATGATTCTGCATCATAGCCTACCAAAGGCAGCATAAAAATCTTAATTGCAAGAACTCCAGTCTGGCACAATGATAAGAATGTGCTCTTGTGAATACACATCAATGGATCACCACTACAAGGGATTTACCCAGTTTCAGCAATGATTTCTGGAGCTACATATGTTGGGGTCCCACAGACGGTATATAGAGGTCCATCCACAATTGTTGCTAGGCCAAAGTCTCCCAACTTCAGGGACTTGCTTCCATCTTGGTGTTCATAAACCTAAATCAGGACGAAAATTGAAAACCATCAATGCAATTACTAACTGCCCGAAATGTTCCTTCTTATTTACAGATTTTTTTTTCCTCCTCCTTACCTTTAACATATTTCTCTGCATGCTTTGAAAATTCACAGACAATTTGGACAACTTCCCTCGAATACAGTCAGGATGTTTGGGAAAGACTCATCTTTCTATCTGTCCAACAAAAGATGTACAACTCGCTAGGTGCTAAAGCCCAGAAGCAAATGTGTGACCTTCCAGCAGTGGCTTTCCTACATCAGCTGCCTACTGAATTCACAGTGTAGGCGGGTTGAGTTTATTCATTTTACTTGCAGAGAGATTAAAGGTTTGCACAGGAACTTCAGCTACTTAGGTAATAGAAAAGTGACTGTACTGATAGCAGTCCCAGGCTCTTCTCTGTGTGCTGAAGCCACAAGACACAAATCTGGCTGCAGTATTTTACCTAGAAATACTCTCCTCTCCTTGGATGACTCTTACACACCAATGAGTTTCTTACTGGCACGGTAATGTCAGGATGAGCAGGACACAAGCAGTTAGGGCTGCTAACAGGGATATGTGAAAATCCTGTTTTAAAACCTGGTCTTCACAATGGCAGTGTGATCGTTTACAGGGTTTTATGGTGCAATGAGAGATTAAGATGTAGTCACATGAAAAAAAAAACGCTAGAAGCATCAGTAAAACAACTATAATTTTAAAAGCTGGCTCAGAGCAAAAGAAGAGCCCCAAATCTGCAAACACTGAAAACTGCTGTATTGTATCCCCCACCATTTGCTTATGCCAGATAAGAAGGTCTGTGCCTTTAAAATTAGATCCAGTAAAAAAATGTTTAAAATAAAAAATATAAAATTGTATCTGAACTAAACACTAGACTGTAAGCCTATCTTTAATCAATGTGCGGTTTGAGTCCTTTATTTCCATGACAGCACCTAAAAAAATGGAAACAGTCTACAGGAGACATTTATATAATATATCACTTTATTATTTTGCAAGCCAAACCAAAGCTCCATGCAGTCTGGATCACCACTAGTGATATCGTGTAAACAATTTGCACCAAAACTGTGCAAAAATAGTAGGTATCATACTTCCTAATCAAAACCAAAACAATCCTTCATATATATATCTTGACCAGCTACTCCTACATCCAAAATCACATTTATCTACAACTGTTTTAAGAAGAAAATCCTAGCTTTTCTTCTTATAAAAATACAATAAATTCTACATGGGACCCTTGAATAGTTTACTTGGTGCAAAAGTAAATTCCTGAAGTCTCTCACCACAGTTTCCTATAGATCTGTTATAGCTCATACTAATTAGTTATATTATACAGCCCCCATCCCCCAGTTTCTTATTTGTTAATGTTAGTCATGTCTAGAGAGAAAACCCCTCTCTGTCCTGAATCCCTGCTTACCAGGTGATACAGCCACAAGCAGACATTCAGAATACACAAAATTCTTCTCCTCTCCTTATGTTATTTTTAAGAATTCAACTGGATCGTTAAGAGGACCAGCAATTTATAATGGATTCACATTTCTCTTCTACTAAGCCAGAAAAAAGTTATGTTTATAGAAAAGCACTGGGAAAAAAAAAAGGCAATTATGGTTTTATTCAAAACACAGATTGTTAAATACATCTGGTTCCTGAAACTAAAGAAAGTGCTCTCTGAAATGGCAGCAATAAATCTTATTTCAACAACAGTTTTAATTAAAGTCTAGAGACTAGGGCTTTAAATATTCACTTGCTGAAATATGTAAAGTGTGCACTTAGACATGAAGAGCTGAATCTGGCCTAATTACTATTTCATATTCTGTTTCATGCAGTTATCTTTCTACACAGCCCTCTCTGAACTGTGCTAACCCAGCAAACATTTGTAAATTCCTTCCTTCAATAGACCACACCTTGTGGGACTCATCCATACTAGAAATTAATTACAGAAGAGGTTTGTTTGGCAATATTTACCAATGCAGAAGGTTTGGTACAGTGCATTTTCTATTATTTTGCTTCATCTGTTTCGAGAAATTACTTTTCTTAGAAAATTACTTCAGTTGACTTGTAAAAATGAAGAAAGTAACTTTTCCTCACCCTGTTATAACTTCATATAAAAAAGAGCCCAATGTGAAGCTGTGGTATGTTACTTGCCAGGCAAGGAATAGGAAAGATAATTTAACACTCATTCAGAATAAATGCTATATATGTTCCTGCATTTAAATACTGAAGGGCAATTAAAGAAATGGGGATTAGTGCAAATTGCCCGCTTCGTAGAGCTTTCACTGTTTTAACTAAGCTATAAAACTGTGTAATTGTACTACACTAATTGAATGCAGCCACACATAATTGTATGCCACCATATGTATCCTATTAGTATAAAGACTGTCAGTATTTTCTAAGCTGCTCTTGTGATCAGTGCAGATGGCAACAGTCAGAGAAGTTGTTCTCTAGGGTTTATTATATGGCTATAAAGACATCCCATGACTTGACAAAATAAACGTTCTAAATAGCAACAATTATGAAAAATGTTCCAATTAAAACATGGAAGACTCCCTAGAGAATAAAAAAAACAAACAAAAATGCTAAAACATCACAGGTATTCAGCACACCCTAAACTCTTGGACAATTTACTGTTAGCTGGACTTTATATGCCTTGAGGATAATATGGAATATTTAAGCAGTTAAAAAATAATGGGTGCTGCACACAGGACAGGTTCGCACACACAAAGATTTATTAGCAGGACCTAGAGCTGGTCTCACACTTCAGCTCTAAGCCTGAAAAAGCTACTTTTGGGAAGAAAGAAAAATTAAAAGAGACAAAGGAGGAGGTGAAAGTAAAGGTTCTTCTAGGGGCCGGGAAGAGATGAAATAAAGCAGCTCCAGGTGAACATCCTCTTCTGGTCTCCTTCTCCAGAGCAGCATGCTCCCCTTCACTTCCCCTTGGTCTCCTTTAGCAACTCTACATCCTTGCTCATCCTCCCTGTTGTCTTTTTTTCCTGCTAATGAGGTTGTTTAGCCTCAGGACATGCTCCTCTAAACCTAAAGTTACAATCCATGAGTAGGAAAAGGGTGGGGGAGAAAGGGTTGATTCTCAAACTAGTGGCCAGGAGAACCAGCAATAACACAACCAGGGTTTGCATGTGCAGCACTGTGACAGTATCAGAGGGAAAGCCACAGCACAAGAACAAGGGAAAAATACCTCCATGACCACTTAGGTGAAGGGTTAAAGAGCTGCAAGGAAAAGGGCAGGCTACAAAAGGCAAGTAGTAGGTATTTAGCAAAATAAATGCTGAGACCCATGTGGCATTTTTAAAGTGTTTTGTAAATGCCATGAAAATAATGCTAGTTGCAATTTTGTGACAAAAGAAACCACACATCCCATTTGACAGCTGATAAGATAAAAGTAGAAAGGTTCAGACACACCGAGGCCACAGGCAGCCAATGTCAGAACCAGGATCAGAGCTCAGGTAAAGCTGGTTCCAAAGCCCTCTTCTACAGCAGCGCTTGTTTCTTTCAAGGACCTCATAAAACTTAGAGAATCAATGCAATTTGTGAATCAAATGCTGGCTCTCGAAGATTAGGATACTGCAAGAGGTTAAATGATGCATCCTTACAGCTCAGTCTCAAAATCAATGCACAGTTCTGGAAAAGTCACTCAGAAATAATTCAGCTACGATGTGAACAATGTGATCATTAGTGGGTAATTACTAGAAAAGCTGAGCAGGTAAATCTAATCCCTGCCCTGCTGCCCTCACCTCCTACCCATACCTCTTTTCCCCCAGAATTTTAACTCTGACAACAACAGAGTTCAGGCATTTACAGACAAGTCAAGACAGCAGCAGAGCAAGGCTTGTCCCAGACCAAGACCCTCCTGCATACTTCAGGAACAGCATTAATGAATCCTGGCATGGGATTGCTACAACATCTGCATGCAGCCACCTATCAACACCAACACCAGAAAACAAAATGGAGCAAAAGGGCCAAGAAAGGTGTATCAGTCATTAATGTCTAGTGAAACTTCCACCCAGTGTGTTTTCAGCAGGATCTCGAGAGTGAGGGCAGGTCAATTCCTCACCCAGAACCTGCCAATAAAGGAACTTCAGCTGTAAAAATCCCACTGCCTGGAAGTTTAGCAATATCTGCTGGAGTCAGCTTCCTCATAAAAACTCTTCATTGTCAAGCAGGATTAAATGCATTAAGTCATGGCTGAGAGTACACAGCTGAGAGAACTGATACACTATGATTCTACAAACACTGTTTTGCAGTTGCAGAATATATGGAGAATTGGGACATCCTGATATTGGAACATGTCAGCAAATTTGTGAAAACTCAGAACACTGAAATAATCAGGAGAAGCTAATTTCTCAGGAGAAATAAAACTATGAAGGGGATGCAATTGTTGCATTCAAGTGTGCAAAATTCTCAGAAGACTAATTGCCAGGATATGTTTTTCATTGTCTTCAGTGGATAAGGCTCATATAGATTTAGTCAGAAAAACAAAGATTTAGATTGTCTGTTTGTGAAAGTGGCTTAATAAAAAATGCTGTAGGATTATTTGGAGATGTAGTAAGGGAAGGACAATGAAGTATCTTCCTGGTTCTGCTCTGATGTGTGACATGATTAGGACACAGCATTTACATGCACCACCCTTGTAAAACTAAAGGGTTGCTAATTATGTAGGCAGTGACAGAAGTACAGAATAGTCTGCTGAGGACAGAACACATACTTATAAGAAGCTTGAAATCTTCCTGCAGTTTACTACAAGTTGACTTCTAGTGATCCCAGGAATTACTCAGCGGTTGTGTGCCATGGAACAATCTAGACATACCAACTAATGTTACTGTACTTCCTGGGACAGCTGTTATTCTTAGGAGAGCATTACAATGCAAAGGTTAAAATTAAAAGATCAGTGATTTAAAATACTGAAATAAACTTGGCAGGCATGTGGAAGGAGGAAATGCAGACCTTTTCTCACACACTCCAGAGTTATCAGCCATACTGAAAAATGAATCTCCACTTACCAGTAGATTCTCCGGCTTGATATCCCTGTGGACAATGTTCAGGCTGTGAAGGTATTTGATAGCACTGGCCAGATTGTAGAGCATCCCACTGGCATCCCGCTCTGTGTATTTGTTGGTGGAAGTAATAGCATCAAAAAGATCTCCTCCCTGGAGCAAAATTACCATAGGATATGAGCAACATTGCTTGTGAAATGACTGAAAAATTTAGGAAGATCAAGGAACATTTTTAGAGGAGGAGGAGGGGAAGGGAGCAGCACAGTTTCCTTGCAGCTATAAACTATGGGTACTGTGATAACAACTCCCATAATGGCAGGTAAACAGACCAATAACTCAAAACCATCGGTCATGGCTAAGGTGGTCAGCCAAGAAGCTGGAGTTTCTACTGCAAACCATTCCCACCTGCTGCTGCTTCTGTAACATGTCCAGCACTTGCCAACCTGAATGTTCAGAGCCTGCTACAAACGTCTGGCAAGAGTATATATATACTTATCTATCACAATGGCATCTACCAACCCTTGGCACTCTTTATAATAATCGCAAACAGATTGACAAGAAAATTTGCCCAATGCCTAACCGGACCCCAGAAAGATGAAGGAACTCTGAGTAAAACTCAGAACTCAAAGTTACCTATTCTCCCCGCTATCGTATTTTAAAAGTCTGTTTCCATCTCATAAAGCTTTGCAAACATGGATTTTAGAAGCCACTTTCTCTACACAAGACGTGATTTTTTTGGTAGTGTGATGCCTCTTGCAGTTCGTACTGAAGAACTTTATAGCATGTATGTCAGGCAATCACACTGGTAGACACAGGTGGCTGCTTGTGCCATTCTCAGCTCATCATGCTAATTCAGCTAAAAGCTGCTGCCAGTAAAAGCAAAGCAAGAAAACAAGAGAGAATGAAGGAAAGAAGAAAACAAGGAAAACTAAGTGGAAGTCCTCAAAGTTGAAATTATCTTCCCCAGTGTCTGGGGCAGCCATGACTATATTTCCAGAGGTGAGCTGGCAAGTGGGGAGAGGGAATGTGGAAGTGCTTGGACAAAGATGGAAGAGTAATTTTAAAGATGAGATTAAAAAGGGAGTTTGACAGATTGGAATTAAAACCAGTGATCTTTTGTGAGATTCTACTCAGAGGTATTGAGCCTTTGGCCAAAGTCAAAGGAGCATCACAAAGAAAACACAATCCAACAAGAACAAAAAAAAAAAGATAACTCTGCAAAAGCAATGCAAAAATTCCCTGCTACTGTCAAAACATCAAGAAAAGATCATAGAGAACTGTATTTAAAAGAAAAACTAGGTATTTTCTGAAGGCAACAGAGGGGTCCCAGCTTTGCCAGCTCTCATAGTCTTATCAACAGCTTCAAGATATTTTCTCTTCTTTTTTAAGGGCTCAACTCCAGTGTAAACACTTTTTCCACTTTCCAGAGAAAGGAGGAGGGAGGGGAAAGAAAAAAAAAATTTTTCCAGGAATCATGGTTACAGAGAAAGGAGTAGGAAAAGGGAACCACCAAAGGCTCAAACCTGGTAAAACATACTTTCCTTGCTATAAAAAACAAACTATCTATTAAAATTTTTGCATTGTTGAGGTGCAGTTGAAGTATGCCAGGGCAGGTTTATTCCCATTGTAGATACAAAATCCCAGCTCTTTGGAAATTGCTTACAGCCAAAAATTGTCAAATCTGGACCACATCAAATTTCTTGCCCTGGCTAGTGACTGTTCAAGACACATCAAGACACATAGCGTCAAGGAAAAGGAAGAACAAAAGGCCAAGCTAAACCAGATAGAGGATTAGAGAGAAAGAGGCCAAATATTTGGCAAAAGTACAATACCATGTACTTCATGGCATTATCTGATCCCTAAGTATTAGATATCAGCATGTGGCAAAGTATGTGAGATAAATAATCTATCTTCCCTAAGCTCCTTCCTGTGAAACCCCTGTACCAGCTGCTTTTTAACATGAGGTAGTGGATTAGACAGATCTTTGGTCTTATCTAATATGTTCCAGATGCTCAGAAGAAGTGTCAATAACATCGGCAAAGCATCTGCCTCCAAACAAAGAAAACAGTCTGAGCTATGAGGAGCAAGAATAAAAGAAGCTGAGCCTTAAAAAGAAGAAGGAAAAATTTTGGCTTGAAGTCAGAAGAAAAGGAACAAATGTTCATGCACAAGAGAAACTTAAACTCAGAAAAATATAGAGGCTGAAGAGCAATTTAACAGTAAAGCCAATCTGAAACAGAATAATTTTCTCCATTTAAGCATCTGCTGTAGTCAGTAAAGTTTCTTACCAGGTATCCTGCTAAGAAAAGAGAGCATATATTTAGTCTGTGGGATTCTCTGCAGTTAAAGGAAAGGAGATATCCTGGAAAGAGTTAACAGCTCTTAGAAAGAGCTGACAGCTATATCAGGCAGAATTGCTTTCAGACTTTCCTTTCCCCAAAGAGCACTTTAACCTGCAAGGTTCTGCTAAGCCGATTCACACAGCAGGTCACTATCATTTATTCAGGCACCAGGGGTGAGTTCAGGATGACATTTCAGTCTTAAATCCCCTGTTCTGGAGTGAAACAGGACCAGCAACATCTGAATGCAGTTTTTATCATCTGTGCACATGAGGAAGTGTACTTGGAACTACAGTAACCAATTATTTATTTATTACCTTGTTATGTAAATGATATGATCTCTCTTTTTCTTCTGCAAAAGTGAAATCATATCCTGGAGCAGTAAAGGAAACTCAGCAATAAATCTTGCTTCTTAAATTGGCCAAACCCCTGTTAGGTTTGAATAACAATTTTGTTTCGCTGTATAAAAAGGCAATGTGCCAGAAACCAGGTCTTTGCTTCCTTTTACAAGCACCACTTGCAATGTGTTTATATTTGTATTTATGAAGTGCTTTTTCTTACACGTTACAAAGCAATGAGTTGCCTATCTGCCATGAGGTGAGGGCGGGATTTGCAGCAGTCACTTATGTCAAACATGTTACTGCCAATTAATGCAGGGTGGTATTAACTGAAACCGGGCTCTGCACTATCAAGCCTTTCCTCCTTGCCTCTCTTTCCTGTCTGTGAGTTTGATTTAACGTCAGGTCTTCAAAAGTCAGTCAATAACAGATGGTTAGTCAATTCTAACAGTGCGCACTGTGAAATGGTAACAGTCAGCAACTGGTGAATTAACAATTAATGTCTCTCCAGAAATGCCTTCCCTAATACCCAGAGAGTGCAACGAGGCTTTTCTTCCAACTATATATTAAGGAATAGATGTTCGTATCAGAGAAACAAAGTTGACTTCCCTGAATAAGGTTATTTCTTCTACATTTCTTCTATTATTCTACATAAAAGTAAAGACTATTAGAACAGTGCTCTCTAGGATATGAGAAGTACAGAGATTCCTATAGTGCCCTTCCATAATTCAGGTAAAAGAATATGTACAGCAATCTTTAAGAGTAAAGAAGAAGGAGCACAAAAATCCAGATTTCTCCAGAAAGTGAACAAAATGCATGTTTTTTTAATATACATCTTTAAGGCTGATTTTCTAAATTATTTTCTAAGAGTTTTCTGTCCCCTCCTCTCTCATTTAGCTGAGTATGACTTCAATTAAAAATCCATTGGACACTAGAGTTTACACATTTTTCAGTCATGAATTGCACAGCAGGTTTCACCCATAAAACCAGCTCTGTGCTTACATCTTGGCAGGTTAGACAAGGCACAGCTTTTAGTTCTTAGCACACCTCATGGGGCCAAGATGAACGATTTGTCAATGCAGGCTAAAAGCTGTGGCTACATGTGATTACAGTGCTATGTAAGGGGACTGAGGTACCTTTGAACAAGCTCTTGCAGACACTGAGGAAAACCGACAGTAGCATGGATCTCATAGTGAGCTCACTTGGAATAGAATAGAATAAATTAGAGCAGTAATTATGATTAAAATAGTGCTAGATGGCTAATGGTATCTGATCTCAAGCTGTGCTATTTCACATTGCATGCTTAACAGTAAGAGAGGGCTGAGATTGTCAAAGGAGTGGGGAAATTATTCTGGGACTGGTAACACAAAGGGATTGATGGCATGGAAGATTGCCAGTATTTTTTTTCATCTTGGGATTTAACTTTTTCATCAGAGAAAATATGTCAGCTCCTTAGTACCAGCATCTCCTAATGTGCTTTCTCAGATCTTGGAGGTGATGGACAGTGGGGTTAGGGGAACCATAAGCTCCACAGCACTACTCAATCCAAAAGAGCATCTGTCAGGCACAGACTTACGAGGACAAGACTTTCTCAGATTGCCACGAGGACAGGGAAAATCTGTGGGCATCCACCCATGTGGCACACAGAGCCTTCCAGCTTTGGACTGGGAACATGGCTTGTGTCACTGGTTCTGCCACAGAACATGGGGGATAATGGAACAAGCCAAAAAACCTTGTCATTCTACTTGCTCTTGTACTCTGGCCCAGAGAATGAAAGGGTATTTAAGAAACCCCTGGACCTGAGATTGCCCTATTTAATATCTCAGTGAGGTGTAGTAGGGACATTAGGAGCACTTTCTAATCTCCACCGACACCAGAGCAAAGCAGAACAATCCTGATTGCCAAAAAACGCTTTCTCTAAGTCACTGTGAAGAAATATCATCCAAAATATAAACCACTGCATTCACAAAAATACTTTTTAGACTAGAACCATGTTTTTAACAGCAGGCTTTTCTTTTTCACTTTCCCCTTTCTTCCACTTAAATTTAGTTTGCTGTTGGGGAGGCAAGTTTGACACTGTGTTAATATAAATCAATAGAGAAAAAACATATTTAATATTGTTTAGATTTAATGTAAATTAATAAAAACTAATGAAACCCTTTCACCTTTTTGTATTTTGAAGGCTGGTATTTATGGCTATTTGGACTGGGTATATTTTCAATTCACCTCAAAGCAGATTATAAATTTTTAATGAGTTTTCTCTTGAGGAAGCAAACAAAATTGGTGGTATACAGTCAACAGAGCATTTCCAAGTGTGGCTTATGGGAAGTTAGACAAATATTTGAAATATTTGAAAGCTGATTTAAAAAAATCTGACAGTGGGTTATACATCTTTCAGTAGGATGCTAGACCACTTTCAGAGATCTCTTCCTCTCTACATTATTCTGTGATCCCATGTTTTTTAGTATGGCTAAATAGGAATGGAATTTTTCAATATGGTTGATTCAATAAGCAGCATGACTCCAAAACACTCACCTTTACAAGTTCCATGACAAGGTACAACTCAGTTGGCATGTCCATCTCCTCGATCAGAAGTACAATATTGGGATGCTTGACTCGTCTTAAAATAGATACCTCATTCTGGATCATGTGTTCCTGACACACAAAAAATCTTCAATGAATATGGGTTAGTGGGAAAAAAATTCACAGTGGAAAAAGCAGAGAGAATTGGGAGCTGCACAGATTCTCTGGGGTTTTTGAAAAAAACTAACAGATGTTGCCTCCAGCAACAGAGAAGGAACACGTTTAGAAACATCAGTGTGGTAACTGAAAGAAGAGAGAGCGGAACGCATTAAAAGAAATGGAAGAAAAGATGTGCTTCTGGTGCAGAGAAAAATGAAAGCTTTTTAAATTTTCTCTGATGCAGAATCTTTAGATTTAACAACATGCTTGCCTCTTCTCACAGAACCTTTTGTTACTGATTTTAAAAGCTAACAGTAACTTGGTGCAAAATTGACATCAATTTAATTAACCTGTGCCTTACAGACAGTGACCAGTTTTCTTATAATTATTTGTATTATTTTCTGCTTTCTATAACACCTGAAATTATGAAAATTAGAGGACATAATTACATGGATAAAAGAAAACACTGGATATTCATCACACAGGTCTAGAACAGCGCATGACTGCTTTTTCTCTTGGAACTCCAAGAGTCTCCAGAGGGAAGGCAAATACTTCAACCAAAGAGATTCTAACACTTGTCAGGAAGGACACAAATGCCAACAGCTTCTCAAAATAACCTCTCACAAAAAATTTCTTGAAAAAATCTTTTGGTCTCATATTTTTTTTGTACTTACTTTCCCTCTACATTTACTTTTCTTGATTATTTTCAGAGCATATTCTCTACCAGTTGATCTGAGGAAAGAGAAAAAAATTGTATAGTCAATTGCATTGAATATTTTTCTCAGTTGAGTTTATATGTGTTATATGAGTATAATAAGTGTAATGAAGAGTTCTGGCAGTATATTCTTTTTTTTTTTTTAAAGAAACAAAGTTAGATTTGACAAGTGTTGTGAAATTGAGCCAAAGTTATTAAATACGCATGCCTGAGAAAAAAACATAACTTTTTTGCTTTAAGATGAGAGCATTTCAGTGTTTTCAAAATAAAAAAAAATGCTTGACTTTTTCTTCCATTTTTAAATGAAAATTGTTATTACTTTGTCATTTTTATGTAAAAATACCATGTGGTGTCCACAGGTTCAAATGTTTGCAAAACAAAGAAGTTATAAACAAAGAATAAACGAAGAATATTTGTTTTCTCTCCTACAAAAAATACAGTCCACAGAAAATACTTACTTACTTTTTACTTAAAATGAAAAGTCATTTCTTTGCATATCTGCATTCACAACTGCTATGATAAAAAGGTCAGTCCTTGGAATAATTTTAATGTATTCAGTAATTATAGGATATTTAGCAGAGTTAAATAGGTTGGCTTTTAGGCAGAATGTGGAAGATTCTGGAGGCAGTAAAAGAAATTAGTTCAGGATGAAAACACATTTCCTTTTAACTTCTGTGTTGTTTTGAATTGCTATAGTATTTATCACTACTACATGTATGTAGTTATCTATTATCTAGAATACTAACACAGACAAATTAGCTTGTAGACAAGTTAATGGTATCAACTTCCACTTTTTAAGTAAGTTAATAAAACCAAAAGGCGGCTGTAAGAATGAAAACAAGAAGTTCTGCCTACAAGCCCCAGTTTCCTTATAAGATAAAATGGAAAAGGGATAATTTAAGAAAAAGATCTTACTGAAATATTTTCATTTTGTAATATGAACCTATACAGGTTACAAATGTTTATTACATTGCCTTTAGGCATGTTTGGTTAAAAATTAGGAAAAAAAATAACCTTTCAATACAGGGTCATTTTTTTCATTCCTCATTTCACAAAAGACAGTAGTTAAACTGATACATTAAACTGATACAGAGTATGTTCAACAGAGATATTAATGTGTCTAAAAGTGTGCTCAGTCTGTCAAACGGGACATGCAAAGGGAGAAATACACTGAAAATACTGTATCTGGAAAACAACTGAGCATTTTCATTTCCATATTAAAACATCGAGGACTCATCTGGCAATGATGTACCACTAATTTTCAATTTAAGGAAAAATGGATAATTCAGTAAAAAGCAAAAATACCACCAAAATATTCATTCTGTTTATGTTCCCTGGCAAAGAGCTAAAACTGCCTCTATTATGACATTAATTAAAAGAAGTCACACAAGATAAGAAAGTTTATGAATTGGGGGGAAAATTACAGCATATCTGTTCAAGATTTACACAAATAAAAACTTCTCCTATCTGTACTCTCTCACACAGGGGTTTAGTGCTACAGCCCCCCAAAATGGGCTGCACTCCATGTGGGGTGCCCCTCTCCAGTGCTGCCCTTCAGTGGCTACAGTCCAAGCTCAGTGAGGGACAGGAAGAGATTTGGACACTATTTTTGGGACTAGAAGGAAGAGGTTGAACAAGAAATATTAGAAATTAAGATATCTGGGGTTCAAACTCAGACAAAATATAGCCTCTTTCAATAGCAGTCTCTTTCAAGCTGCTTGGTTGCCCTAGGAATGCTTCCTTTCTGTCATGAGAAAGGAAATTGATGGTTTTTGTTGGCCATGGGAGACTCCATATACTCCAAGACACTGGGAAATCTGAGCTAGTGAGGAAATGTCAGCATTTGAAAGTATCTGAAAGTTAAAAATGAACACATACAAAAACACCACAGGACAAATTGTGCATACGATGGAGCAGATATGTAACAAGCAGATGACAACTCTGACTGCTCTTTGTTTTGGTAAAAAGAAAATTAAAGCTAAGATAATGTAAATCCTTTCCCCTGAAAAGCTGCAGAACTGCGGCCTGTCAGCAGCACAGCATTTTACACACCACCAAAAAATATGCATGGCCATGTCAGAAAGTCACCATGAAACAGGCATCTCACCTCTCACCTAAACAATAAAAAGGGACCACAAAAAGAAGGCAACATGTTGTGGCTGGACTGGAGTCTGGACCCACTGCACTACCACAGAATTAGACTTCTAGCTCATAACAGGGCTTGGTGCCATGTTCCCTGGCTCTTTAAACTGTTGCAAACTTCACGGAGATTTAGACTGCACTGGAGACTAAAATCTATCTTTGTTGCATTTTTGCACGCATTAAATGTATTTAAGAGTGTGTCCCTGCACATTTACAGATGCTCAGAATGGAATTTAGAAGTTCAAATGTGAAAATTTTGGAGATGGTTTTTGGTTTCTGTTTAGACTGTTCATTGTCAGAAGAAAACTCCTGTGAATGTATTGAAGTACTCACAGACTGATCTCACAGCAATGGAGAAGCAGTATTCATGTGACCAGTGAATTTGTGTAGCAAGAACCATTCCTACTTGTTTAACACCTTATGGTGCTATTCCTTTGAAGTGTAATGCACACAGGAATTATACTTCACAAGGAAATGGAAAAGTTCTCTGTCCCAAGTATCACCCCATTAATTCTGGTGCTGCAAATGATGGACATATCAGACTTTGAAGTGAGGTGGTTAAAGATGCTTAAAAAAAGACTGAAAAGAGTATTTTTGAAGGTGTTTCACAGGTACTGGTATAATTTACCCTCCGAGTCTTTAATTTCTCCTTCCACACCTGTGATGGCAAGGATGTACTGCTTTAGAAGTATCCTAACAGAAACAATTCCACTTCAATTTTCAAGATCTCTCAAAGCAGTAGCTCTCTGATAGAAATGGGATGTATGGAATGGTATAGCTCAGAGACCACAAGACTATATATCTGGGAATACCTGGGTAAAAATGCTATTTGAGTACATTAGACACACCATGTTACTGGATACTGCTGGGACCAGTGGGAGAGACAAGAGGACAGGAAACAGTTTTCATTCAAGGATGAAAACTCTCCAGGATATTGTAATCAGCATTATTTTTAGGTGTGATGGGACCTACATTTAATTTTGTTCATGTGTTTTCTCTCCGTTTGGGAAATAATTGTGACATGCACACTAGCACATTTGTACTGTCTCTGAGCAGCACAAATTGCATTTTCAGCTGAATGAGTTTATTAAAACCACAACTTCTCATTATTTTACCTTCTAATCGGCTTTTCCCAGTCACTATTCACTTTACCTTAAGCTGCCTTTTTCTCTTTTCTTAGTAAGAGAGTTTGGGTGAAAATGGGTGTTTTCACCCATTTCTTTCATTAGTCATGTCCCTCCATAGGGTATTTCAGTGCTTCCTTTCTTTCATATTGTTTTGCTTTCCTTCCTTTAGGTTTCCATACAGTTTAATGCTCCAGAAGTTTGATCTGAACAGCTCCTGCCCTCTGGATGACCAGCTCCACCAAGAACTCACTCTGGCAAAACACTAAAGGCCTCACCAGAACTTTGGCCAAGTTCCACAAGCACACTGTCAGCTGATACAAAATCTACTCTCACCCTTTTCCCCAACAGCTGTCTTCATGATCTCCAAGTTGCACTTTTGGATGCAGAGGTGGACCCGCATTTTTCCAAGGGGACTGGTTTAAAACCAGCCAAGCTAATTTATCATTGTCTGTCAGGAGATTTAATCTCACTCTCCAGGGTTTATATCATATTCTTACAGGCTAAAGAGAAGTTTTTTCTTTGAGCCCAAAGGTGAAGTTATAGTCCTCTGTAAGAGTCTCCTCTCCAGGATATGGTAATAGGGGATAGAAAACTGAACTGATGAAATTTCATTCTCAAACATTGACATCTCTATTGTTCTCTCTTTTGGACACCTCCAGCTCTGGCAGTTTTTTGTTGGTCTGCACTGCTACTAACATGAGCAATCCTACAGTTGTTTCACATATAGGTGAAATACCTTCTGTCTTTTATATCCCATAGTCTCTTATTTTTAACAATACCAGTGAAAGGCAAACACAGTTCTGCTTAGAGCATTCCTCCTTGGTTCCATAGTTTTTACACTCCTAAGGTTGGGTAGAGCAGGTTCAAGCCTGAACAGATTTAGAAACAGACACATGAAGATGTCAACCTGGACATTTTCAGCAACACTGACAACTGAGGTGACTTGTGACTTCTCCAATCTGGAGTAGATGTCTAAAATTAAAGACTGTTTTCACCTCTTAACAGTAAAGGTCACTGAAGAAGTTAGATTTTGGTGTCTGCAGTGAGGCTCATAAAGTTGGAAAAGCAAATATAATGGCACAAAGCAGGCAAGCAGGAGTTAGGTCTCCATTAAATTAAAAATAAATAACAAAGAGACTACACCTCAGTGTCAGATGGCAGAGTAGATTGATCCAAAATTACGTCTTTGTGCTGACTATTACCACTACACCCCAAACAGAGAACTTCCTGACATCTTTACAGAGTGCTGCTGTATGTGAAATGTTCCACTGGTCTAATGTAAAAGCACCATTGCAAGAACATACTGCAAGAAAAGATGTTATTTCAGTGCAACAAGAGAGATTTAACACAAGGAACTGGTAACATCACGTGGCGTGTAGCAGAAAAAACACATATATAACCCACGAAGAATAAAATTCATAGATTGCCCCTTGAACTCACTCTTTTTTTAAATTTGAGGACATTAGTTTTTCCATCTGGAATTGAGACATTACCTTATTACATTTCTGTATTCTACAAGTAAAGATACAATCTGGAAAAAGCATGACATTAATAATTATTTTTTACAGCAATAAGTGTATTATCCTCCTCACCTTTCTATACACTCCTTCACAATAGCAAAATTTCCATCTCCTATAGTCCTTCCAACTTTATATCGCTCTGCTATGGATGCTGGAACCTGGAAACCTTCCTCCAACACTTCTGAAAGAATCATTAGTACATTTTTATTGTTAGTGAAGGAAACACAGATGTTGCACATAACATGCATTTTAAGTCCACGGTTTAGGAGCCTGGAAACCATTCAGTCAGTGTCTCACTTACTGTACAGTGAAACCATGCTGCTGACATTGTATATACTCAACAGGTTTCATGTAGATACAATAATGAAAAATAAGACTTCTGGGGGCTCAAACATACCACCATTTGAGTGTTATATAGTTGCCATTGCAATATGCCCCCAAGACATAACCAAAATTTTATTTTTTTAATTATGAAAAGGCCTCTGTGATCTGCACAAGCGCAGACTAGCCTCCAAAAAGGGCTGGAACTCCTTGACACAGCATGATTAAATATATGTACCAAAGAAGTCCAACACTCAAGCACTTATTTTATTACATCCTGTAAACTGAGACATCCATAAAACTCCTCATGTGCTAAGTGCTAGTTCTCCCCATCCCCCAATATCAAATATTTAGTTTTTAAACAAATGTTCTCAATAATACTACCTCGCATGCAACCTGGGTACCAGATGTTTAGGTAAAATTGCATTACACAGTGTCTAAGCATAGGAGAAGCTTGTAGTGTTTTAATGCTCATTCCTGTACTACTATTTTTAAATGTATTTGAAATAGTGTTACAAATAACTAACATGACTCTAAAAGCTCACTGTAAACTGCAGCTGATACAAACTACTATATAAATATTGTAATGTAAAAGAAATAGCCTCTCAGAAATGTGATTTGTGTTTACGCTCTTTAAGACAGTGCATTTAACTGTGTATTAGTCTGTCCTTTGTTCCAGTTGAGAATTAAAAGTGAATGCTAGGAATGCTAGGACACAAGGAGGCTGGGGTTTGTCTGAATGCACAGACAGCATGAAGAGTTATTCTCCAACAGGAGCATAGATACACACACACGTACATAGATGTGTATGTGAGCCAGCAGTGCTCCAGAAGATCTGGTCCCTTAGCCAACTTGCTCAAAGCCTTAGCAGGGAGTAGGACTATCCATTTCTGAGTAAAGACCCAGGACTGCAGTGTGTTCTTTAGTACTGTGGCAGATGAGACAAAAATACTGAAACAAACCAGTCAGCACTGTGTTGCTTGCAGAAATAAAAGCTCAAGTGTTCCGCAATAAAAATATCTCTGAAGGGTGATGTCCAGATCAACTCTGATCCAGAGTGAACCTAACTGGTTTGCTAAGGCTGAGGAGGTTCCTCACAGAAAATCATCCAGCCTGCAATGCTCCCACCTTCTCTGGCAGGAAGAATGACTCACTTCCTACACAGCTGCTGTTATCACTACACTGACTGCTTTGAAATGTCAGCTCCAAATGTTACCTTCTGCAGGGCCATCATTTTCATCCATAGAGCTGCAAACTTTGGTGGATGCTAATGAGGTAGAGGAGCCACTGTGTTGGGAGCTCTGGAAATGGAGACACAAATGAAAACAGATGAATTTTAAGAAGTACGAGTACCCACAGCACGTTCCTGCTGGACACATGTCCTGGAGAGGCTTCAGTGTTCCCCATGTAAAGTATGTATTTACTTTGCTGGATGGATATGTGGACGCTTGGGAAGAGTCCAATTTCATCCACTGAAATTACACTTTTGGTAACCTCACATTACTGGAGAGATCCTTGATCCACCAAGTGAAGCAATGTGCCTGCAAGAATACTTTGATGTATGCTCCAACAGCTTCTCCCTATTCCACACACATTCTGGCAGGGAAAACTGAGGAGCCGTATGCCCTCTGCAGGCTGGAGACCGTGTTCTTAGAGACCTTGTTAACTCAGCAGGCACTAGAGGAACCTAAGGCTTTAGCTGGCTGTGTTATGGGCAGAATTCCTCAATTTTACAAACCTCCCTCAGTTGAAATCTTCCCCAGTTTTATTCTAAAAGGGAGAAATCATTATGGCAGTGTATGGACAAAATAAAATGTCAGGGTGAATAATGGTTGCTGCTTCATAGGAGCATTTGACTGGGGGTGGCTCACTTGAGGCGGTGAATCTGTTCTGCTCCATTTCAAGTTTTTGTCCTGTCTGTACCGCTAATGGGGGAGGGTGGTGTCTCTGTGGCCCCTCAAAGGAAACTTGTAGCCACCCACCTTGGATGCCAGAAGTGTAGGAGGCAGGATCTCACCAGGGAAGCCTTCTAAAGCACCTATCAACATCTATCAGACTTTAGGAAAACTGCTTCATCCTTCAACCTACAGACTTTAGGAAAACTGCTTCATCATGCATCTAGGTGGATGAAGCTACACAGACATTTGAGATGGACTGGATTTCACCCAAAACTTTTATCTTATGGTGCAAAACAATTATACCTCATCTTCAGGATTTCCTATCTTCAGAGGAATCCAGAAGAAGCTAAAAATATAATGGTGCCCCTTCAAACTTAAAGCCAAACTAAGCACTTCCTCCAGTCCTCCGATTACAACTTAAGTGAAAAATATTCAGAGGATTTGCAAAACTAAAACTTGGGTTCACATCATTCACATGCTGAAAGTGCTGCGGTATTTCATTATCTTCTTCAGTCTATATAATACATAGATTGCAGGCTGTACTTCATGTAACTAACACTATCACTTCCTTCGATCAGTGTCTGCAAGGTATTTAGATGCCCACAATCATGGTGCCAATCCACTTTACAAATTAAATACAACTATTTTGGAATTATTTCTTTTGCCTGACACTGCAGAACACAGTTCATGACTGGAGGAAGAGTAACTGAAGTTCCAGCAGTTTGGATATTTGCTGAGTACCAAGCCAGGGAAAACACAGTCAGAAGACTTAAAATCTGGCCAGTATGCTGAGTTCATTTGAACAGAATAACTTTTAATTTCTCCGACAACAAAGGTCAGATGACTTAGACAAAGTCTGAACTTGGCCTATTTTTCACTAAAGAGTCCTGAGAGTTTGCACATCCCATTTACCATGAGATTCTTTGCCCTTGTTTCCTTTAATCAACCCCAGCTCCCTCTTTTCATCCAGGCAAGTATTTCTTCTGAGCTTTGACCAGAATTGATGAATGCATTAATCAGTTTTTGGACTGTTTTTTGCCTCTTGACAACAGAAGTCAGCACTGAGTGATTTTATGCAGTTTTCTAAGATACTGCTGCTCTTGTTTCATGGTCAGAACGTGTTTATATATGTTCCATTCCTGTACTAAACTCTGTGTGACATCCCAATAAAAACTTACCTCTGGTTCATTTTTGAACAAATGAGCAGATGTGGATCAAGGTAACGGGGAAATGCTAGGAGTTCTCATGCCTGGAGAAGTCAGTCACAAAGCCTATTTTTATACACATGTAATGAGAGAATTGTTTCCTTTACAGTCCTGCTTGTAAAATAAGCAGAAAAACATGTTCTCTCTACTCATTCTGCTGTGTTTGTTTGTTTTCCTAGAACAGACATACAATTTCTTACTAATTTTCCCTCTCACACTATTTTCTGTAAGGAATTACAATTTAAACATGATTAATATTTATTACTTCTATGATCAGGAATGAATAATTACAACATTTAAGGAGTACAATCACAAAAGGGTTTACTGTTAGATTTTCAAGAGATTATCTAACAACTACAATTTTTTTCACTTTTTTGCACTTTAAATAGTGAGATTACACTTTTAAGTAGATGTCAGGTCAAGGCTGCTGACTGCATAGCACTGCAGCTTCCTTTAGCATCCTGGTGACTTCTTTAGAGTCTTGTAGTCATTGCTCTCATCTGTGAGAACGGCAGATGTGAAAATCAAGACCTAACTCAGCGGCCACATCTTCTCAGAATGGGTGCCTAGAGACATTCAAATTTTTATTTGAGGACTGAATTTTTCAAGGACCTTGAACTAAGGCTTAGCTGAGAAATGCAATTGCTCAGTCCTTCCAAAACTAGATATCTTCAAAGGCTCATTTAAACAAAGCATTTTAGCAAGCACTCCAATTTAAATACAAATAATCTTAATGGTCTACACATGAGTGAAATTAAATTGACTCCTAAATATGTCTTGGGCAAACTCCTTAAGTATGTATTTAACCTAAGTTTAGTCTAATAGACTGAGAAAAAACGTGGCCTACAAAAAGCTTAAAATTTTAAAGGAAAAAATTTACTTCATACTGATGTTTTATGTGACTCTACTTCTTTTTTTATTGGCACTGTTAAAGATGGGAAGGTTAAAATGTTATTTGTTAACAGAAGAACTGAAATAATGCATTAGTAGCATATAACATACCACTAGTGTGCCAACAAAGCATACAGCCCCTTTGGTGACATCAGCCTGCGAAGCATTGGCACGGAGGCAGAGGCAGAACTTGCTAGTGACAAGGAAGCAGTAGCTAGGAAGATGTGCTAAAAATACACACTGAGACTTATAAAACTTTAAATAATTATTGAAAAAAATATCAAAACAAACTCTTCATTACCTTTGCTGAACCCCTCCTATTAAAAGAACAGATTGAAAATAAATCAGGAAGTGGACATTTGCACATATTTACCAAGTCTGCTGGCAGCACCCTTTTCACAATTAAAGAGATGTTACTGGATAAACGATAAACATGACTCAAATATTTTCATCTTTATTCGGCCCTCTCCAACAACACGCAGGCATTTATTTATTTATCTTTACTTGGGCTAGAAAGAGATTTCATTTATTTAGCCTTTAATTAGTTGGCTGTTCTCACAAGCTGAGAGCCCTGTGGGTCCAGCAATCCTTGTGGGTCTCAGCGTTCCTTCCAGTTGGCTTGCCAATCGTGAGGCAGTCTGTCGCGCGCGCTGTTGCTGTCACAGATGTGGACCCCATCAGGGATCTTGCAGATGGGGAGGGGGAAAACAAACCCTTGGCAAGAGTATAATATCTTCAACACACAGACTTTAATGTAATTAGCTGGTTTAATTTTAAGAGATGCTGAGGTGCTTGGAATGTCATCGCTTTCACACAGATTTAAAGGGGTCCAGTTGCACAGGTTGCCAGCACATGGCCAGTTTTATGGCACACCTTCATAAAAGCAACAGCATAAAAAAATCAGGTCTTTGGTGTAAGGATTTCGGATCCTATTCAGGTTTATATAACAGATGGCCAGCACACCACACACCTCACTGATGTGAATGGAAACATTAGCACTATAGAGTTTCAGCCATGTCTCACCTGGAGATTTATTTCGCAACTGTTTGGTAAATAGATTTATCTCAGTGGAAACTGTGCTAAATTCATGAAAAAAAAAGGCAGCAAAATAAAAATTACTGTAATGTCTCCTCTCTCCTGATACTCACCTTTGTCCTAAATTAATCTTAAAATCCCATTCCAACTAAACAGCAGGAATTATTCTTGTGGACTACTAGTGCCAGCAATTACGAAAAGAGACTTAAACAAGTATGACTAGAAAGTTTATTAGTGCAATTCAGATTCCTGAATCTCAAACTCCAAACACTGCATTCTATTTTCTAAACCTCTCAAAACCTTTCTTAGCACATGTGGAGTCTACAACGTCTCTCAACAATAGATTCCTTTGTATTTTTCCAGTACGAAGGAAGCATCTGGATGAAATGTGAGTAACAGAAAAGCACACAGGTGTAATGCTAAGTTTGGATCCCATGAAGAGCTCTACTCTTTTAGAAACTGTCTTAATGAAGTGAGAATTAAAATTAGTTAAAAAAGTGTAAATTCAGGAAGGAGGCTCAGGAGAAGGGAATTATTAATGTCTTTAAATTATGCCTCCTAAGATGTCCCCACTCCAAAGAACTCCACAGAGTCTTTAAAAAAATACAAAAAGATAAGCATGTCAGTAATATGTGTAAGATGAAGTTCAACTCAGTAAGGAAAAAACAGCTTTAAAACCAAAACTAAGCATTTAGCCCCCACGCTCACCTCTTTTGGAGCCCATACTAGTGTTCAGTCTGGTTATAAAACAACCTTTGCAAGGTAGCTGTCATGGCTTCCTGACAGGCTCAGCTCCTTTGCATAAAGATTCTCATGAATAATGGTAAAATAAAGACAATCATCCAGTACAGGTATTAGCTTTTAAAGACTTTGAAGGAGACCAAAAAATTCCCATAATACTTAACAATGTTAGGCAAGAAATAAGTGAGTCAATGAACAGCAAAATGGTACATTACAAGAGAACAAAAGCAGAGGACAGCTGATTTAAAACAATAAAGTAATACATTTTGATGTAACTTTGAAGAAGATAAACTGATTTTTTTTATTATTCAACTTAGAGAGACGTAAAGGGTTACACCGAAGTTCCCTCTCCCAACTATATCCAGTGAAAAAAGTTTTTGATTTTCTTTTGTTTAACCTTACATTTTTATGCCCAGTCAGCTGAGACAGGGAAAAAAAGCTTTCATGTAAACAGTACAGAGTTGGCAAAAAAATTACTTCATGAAGAAACATGAAATCCACAATCTTCATACTGAAAGAATGGAAACTAAT